ACCCTAGTTGACACCCCTGGCTGGTTATTATCTTCTAGCACATGGCCACCAGGACAGCAGAGATCTAACAGGTCTGGGCCACCAGATGGGCCTAACAGGTTCAGTGCTATATTTCAGCCTGTGGTGCAGAGTTAAGAGGGCAACAAATAGCTAATGATAAAAGGAATAAAAATATTCCCAGTTTTCAAATATGGGAACTAAAGTTCAGAGAAGTGAAGTGATTTGCCCCAGATAACACAGCTGCTCAGTGGCAGAGCTCAGGTTTGAACCTCCCATGTGACTAGCTTGAGAGCCTATATTCTTCTTCTTTTTTTTTTTTTTAAAGAGAGAGAGAAGAGAGAAGAGAGGAGAAGAGAGAAAGAAAGAGAGAGAGAGAGAGAGAGAGAGAGAGAGAGAGAGAGAGAGAGAGGGAGAGAGAGAATTTTTTTTAATATTTATTTTTCAGTTTTTGGTGGATACAACATCTTTGTTATATTTTATGTGGTGCTGAGGATCAAACCCAGCACCCCGCGCATGCCAGGTGAGCGCGTTACGGCTTGAGCCACATCCCCAGTCCCAAGAGCCTATATTCTTACCATGGTGCTGCTTCTACCCACATGGAGCCCCATTTGTGGAAAGGAAGAAGAGGTCTGAATTGGGGTGCAAACTCAGGGTGGTATAGATGTCTGCAGTGGCAGGTAACTGAGACCAAGACCCTGCAGACCCCTTCACCAACTGCCCTGGCTTCCTCCTTTCTCCACTTGGCCCACCCTTATCTCCCCAGGCTGCCCGTCAAGCTGGTCAGGGGAGCAGTACTTCCTCATAAGATCTTCCATCAAGAAGGGGGGCCAGCCGAGCTCCCACAAGTCCAAAGGCCGAAGCTCCCACACTCAGCCTCAGGGGCATCCTGGCTGCACGAAGGCTCATACAGGAGCTCAAGGTGAGCGCAAGTATGCCCAGTGGAGAGAGGCCAGGGGGATGCAGAGGGCTTCAGAGAGCAAGCCCACCCCTCTGCCCATTTTCTGGGTGTGTAAGCTGAGGCCCAGAGGAAACAGAAAGAAAAGACAGATCCCTGCACTCACCTAGTGTCCGCTGTGCATCAGGGAGAGTGCAAGACTTTGCATGTTGCTGTAACAGCATTTGCAGAGCCCAGGAGGAGGTGCACACCACTGGAGTCAAGGCCCTTGAGAACCCAGCGGAAAACACAGCAGGTGTTTAGACATATTTGCTCCATACCCAAATGAATGAGTTGTGCAATCCTCAGAATCATCAGGGAAGGTAGGAATTACCATCTCACGGAAGAAACAGGCTCAGAAAGGAGGGAACTGACCACAGCTTCAAATGCTGCTGAGAATGACCTCTGGACACCAGGGACCTTATCGGGGGCAGCTGCGGTAGAAGAGGAGTGCATGCCAGATGGAAGTGGGGTGAAAAGTGGAGGGAGGTGAGAGCGGAGGCTGTACAGGTTATGGGCAGCTCTCCAAGGATAGGCTGAAAATATGAAGGTGAGAGAGAGAAAAATAGAAGGAACATACTGGAATAGCATGAAGGTAAGGTGGGCCGCTGTGTGTTTTACTGCTTTAGCACGGGGGAAACTGGGACAGGCTTCAGTGCTAGTGGAAGGAGCCAATAGATAGATTCTGGAGAGTCCCTGGAAGAAAAGATCCATTTACTCAGAGATTCAGAGAACCACTGAACTGGGCCTGAAGGCTTGCCTCTTTGTAAAGACCCCCAGTCTCCTCAGAGGGGCAGAGGAAGGCAGCTGAGCAACTTTACATACACAATCTCCTATACTCCTCCAAGCCACCTGGGAGGAAAGGAATTAGCACCCTCATTTTACAGAGGAGTGGTAGCTAATCCATGGTCTTGTGGATTCCATCAGCTTCTTTATTCATTCGTCAGTCAGTCACCACGGCAACACTTACTGTCCACTGTGCTGGATGGGGGGATACGTGGGGAGGGCTCACTGTATTGAGCCCAGCCTCGTGCAATAACACCATTTTCTCCTCTCACTATTTTACCTCTCCAACATCTATTTCTTTGCTACTGATCCCTAAAGACTAAGCATTAAGGGAGATCATGTACGGAATGCTGTTGATTTGCCACCTGTACACCCTGCCCACCCTGGAAGCACCTGCCAGAAGTTTCCATGTGCCTTGCTAGTTCCAGGTTTCTTACCTGAGGGTTTTTCAGGCTGCCAACACTGAGGCCACTCAGGAGAGGCCAAACATGCCTGTTCAGCCAGTAAGGGAGTAGGCTTGTGGTGGATAAATGCCCAGCTTCCTTGTCCCTCAGTGGCATGATTCTGAGGTATGTTCCACTGTCTTTTGCATGGACCACAGCAGGAGGATCTCCAGTTGCTGCCAGGGGTAACCTGCCCACCCACACCCTTTATCATCTCTCCTTCCCAACTGTCTCACCATGTTTCCCTGAGTCACCTCCCATATAAACTTCTTGTACCCAAATCCTTGCTCAGAGTCACCTTTAGGACAAACCCAGCAGTCGACATTCAACAAATGTTCACCTCAATGCTTGTCCATATTTTTACAGAACCAGACATCTACGAGGACACAACTGGAACTGCATCACCGTCCACCAATCTGCACCATCCAGGAGCAAGTATGGGCCAGCAGCCTGTGGGTATAACAAGAGTGAGAGGGCCAGGCTGTGGGCCCCAAGGCACTGTTTTTTATAGACTGAAAACTGGATTAATCTCTGCCATCCACACAGCACCATGCAGTTTATAAAGCTGTTTTCTTGTGTTTCGATTCTGCATTGCATTTTCCATACCAGGGTTCCAAATCATATGCTCCAACTCAGGGGTCTATGTCCAGCATATTTGACCTCAAATTCTGTTTGTTGCAAATACACCCCCCCACCCCCCTCCTCTCCTCCTTCCAGGTTCCCTCATGGTCAGCCAGGCCAGAGGTGAAGTTCCCCTGTGTCCAGGCAGAGGAGCTGATGCAGGCCCACCTGCCCTCCAAGCTGGCTGGTGTGGCCTACCATCCAGGCCAGTGTGACTACCTGGCTGCCATTCTGAGTGCTGAGATCAGGGACCTGGTCAAGGACGTCACCCCACCCCGCTATAAGTAGTGTGTTCTGTCAGCATTGGGAGTAAGGGGCATGATGGTGTGGTGGTCGCCAGCCAGAGCCTGTGGGACCCACATGCAGACTGATTTGCCACCTCCCACTATGTGAACTCCATGCTCTTCTGCGTGGCATTGGTGCATGCCATTTATTTAGAATGAGCCTCGTGGGGTGAGGGCCTGGGATCCACATGGGGTCCCATAATAAGGCCTGGCATGGAAACTCAGTTCCTAGCCCACTAGTCAGTGACCACCTGTGTGTGTAGCAGCCACCTGGCAAGGACAGCAGCTTCCCTGATCCTTCGCCAACTAAAAAGAAAGGGAGCAAGGTGCATCTCCCCCGACCCCTCGGCAAGCTGCCAGACCACACACGCTGTTGCCGCCTCTGCCTCTGGCTGGGATCATGTCAGCCACGCGCAGCTCCCAGCTGGGTGTGCAGATCAGAAGCTCTGAGCCGCAGCTATCTATGTCTTTGATTAATAAAAAATGGGAGATAAATTAATAATGACTTAATACTTGCAATTTGGGATCAAAATCTTCCAAAGCATGGGGAAAATAATAAAAAGAGGATTTTTTTCTTCATTTGAATCAGGGTCTTGTTATGTTTCCCAGGCTGACCTTGAACCCTTAGGTTCAAGTGATCCTCCTGCCTCAGCCTCCTGAACAGCTGGGACTACAGGCACGTGGCACCCTGCTGGGATGGGAAATTCTGGACAATAAAAAGAAGGAATAAATGCCATCAGTCATGAACCAAGTGCTGTTGGGTAAGGCCACTCAAGAGTAGCCTCACAGCAAGGTGCTGTGCTTAGGTGCACACATGTATCCCTCATCCTCACTGGGATGAAGGACAGATAACCTGGGAGAGGGTGCTACCTTCCACCATCTTATAGAGCAAACTCAGACTCGGAGAAGCCCAGTTAGTTCTTGTGGGTCACAGCACAGAATCAGTGAGAGGCTTGAACTTGGTCTGCTTCATTTAAATGGAAAAACAAAATACCCCCCCCCCCGCCCAAAAAAAAAGGAGGAGAGGGAAAAGCCTACAACAGTGGTGTCTGGCAAATCATTATGGGTTAAGTTTATGGGGAAAAGAAGATGTCCAAGCAGAAGGAACACCCAGTCAGCAGGAGTGCTGGGAATGATTTATACTCCTTCTTGCTGGGTCCCTGACATCTAGAAGAGGGCCTGGCATGGTACAAGCTCACAGTCTTGAATGAATGACTGAAGAGATTGGAGGCATAAAGGGAATAACCTGTGTGAGGTGGGAGAGAGGGAGTGGATGTTTGTAAGCCCATAGTTTGTGAAGAGCGTTGCAATTTGGGGTCAAAATCACATTTTGAGATTACACACACACACACACATACTTTAAACTGGGGATTGAACTCTGGTGCAGTTTACCACTGAGCTACATCCCCAGTCCATTTCATTTTTTGAAACAGGATCACTAAGTTGCTGAGCCTGGCATGGAACTCATGATCCTCTTGCCTCAGTTTCAAGTTACCAGGATTATAGGCTTATGCCCCGCCACCATGCCTGGTTCACATTTGATTTTTTTTTTAAATATTTTTTAGTTGTCAATGGATCTTTTATTTATTTATATGCAGTGCTAAGGATCAAACTCAGGGCCTCACACATGCCAGGCAAGCGCTCTACCACTGAGCCATGACTCCAGCCCACATTCGATATTTTTAAAAAGATCTTTAAGGGTCAGGGCAGTGGCTCAGTGGTAGAGCACTTGCCTGGCATGCTTGAGGCACTGGGTTCGATCCCTAGCACCACAAAAAATAAAAACAAATAAAGGTATTGTGTCCATCTACTACTAAAAAAAATATTAAGAGATCTTTAATTATAGAATTATTTAAAACAAAACAAAATAGAAAATATTAGCAGATATCAGTGAACCCATTGCCCAGATTAACCAGTTCACATTTTGCAATGTTCATTTCAAATGTTTTTAATATAATACAAGTACAGATGCAGCCCGAGACCCCACCCAACTCCTCTGTCCATCACCAGAGCCAGCCTCATGCTTGCAGCTGGTTCCTCAACTCAAAAGGCAGCATTACTTTGGGTTTTAACAATTTCTAAGTACAGGTGTCTCACTGTACCTATCCTTTCACAACATGCAATTCACATCATTATGGTGTTTTTAGGATTTAGTCTATGTTGACAGATGTCTAGTTCATTCATTTTAACTGCTGTCTGATGTTCCACTGGATGAATAAGAACAATTTGTTGGGGCTGTGGTGTGGCTCAGTGACAGAGTGTGCTTAGCACACGTGAGGCTCTGGGGTCAATCCCCAGCACCAAATGAAAAGGAGGAACTGTTCATTTTTTCTCTTCTTCATGGACATACAATTTTTAGTTTTTGCTGTTTTGAACAGTGCAGCAATAAAAATCTTTATACACATCTCCAGGTGCATTCATGTGTCATATATAACCTTTACAACAATCACCACAGGTTGGAACTTGTGTTGCCTACATGACCTTGGAGAATCGCTCAATGACTTGGAAGCTTAGTTTCTTCATCTGTAAATTGGGGTAATAAAATAGCATAAATATTTGTTAAGATTCTGTGCTTCAATGAATATGAAAAGCATTCTGCCACCTGTCACTTGCTCCATGAATATTGCTTATCACTCAAGTATTTGACCTTCAGGATGTACTGCGCGCCCTCTCTGCTGGGGAAGCAGTGGACTGGGCTATGCAGGGCCCTTGCTGTGCTCAGTCTGATGGGTGTGGCAATGGAAGAACTCAAGAGTCTCTGCTCACTGCTCCAGACTGGGGTGGAAGAGGCAGCAAGGATTCCCAAAGAAGAGACACTGAACCAGGAGCTCAGAGGATAAGGAGGTAAAAAATGAGAGTGGGAGACTGGAATCAGGAGGCTGGCCAGGCAAAGGGAGCAGTAAGTGTGAAGGGAGCAATGATACCAGAGAACACGTATGGAGTATAAGAGGTGGGCACAGAGCAGGTGGCAGCACAGGACAGGTCTGGAGAGGTGAGCAAAGCTGAGATGCCATGTCCTGAAGGTAACAAGGAACCATGGAAAGACTTTAAGTAGGACAGTGATAGGCATGAATTTGCACGTTAGGAAAATCAGTCTGATTAGTGTAGAGCAGGGCCCAAAGGGGACAGCCTGGGCCTAGAATAAGTCCAAGACCTATCTGATCACAGAACTGTTGTCACTTTGTTGATTTCCCGATGCCTTTTGGTCATGTCCAGCTCCTAAGTCTCCTTCTACCACTGCAATATCACACAGTGGCCACCACCCACAGCACTTCCCCGATGGCCTACATAAGGCACCAGCAGGAGATGGGAGGGATGGACCAGCTGCCCAGAGTCTCATCCCAAATCCCAAGAGGTCTGTTTTCACACATCTTAACCACTCCTCCTCTTCTGGGGCTCACTAGGCACCCTGCAAGGCACAACACCCAGACACAAGCTCTCAAGTATCTGATGACAGGAGTCCTTCTGATCTTGGCACCAAAGGCATGGCTAGGTCCTCACCAATGTCCCTGACAAGTGATCCCGCCAGCAGCCAGACTACACAGACTCTATGTGGAGGGAGGGGAAGGATGACCACTCTAGGACAAGAGGGGCTGTTAACCATGAGGTGACCTTGTCTAATACCTAAATATCAAATCTCTAAAATGGCACAAAGAAAAATATGAAGGAACTGACCCAGACCTTTACTCTCTAAGTGAGGACCCCCACTCCACCCCTAGTTATGAGTGAGCGTACTCTCCATCCACAGGGGCACAGTGGCATGTCCCTGGCCTTCCCTAGGTTAGGTAAAGCCCTAGAACTAGCTTATTTCTAGTCCTACTCCACACTCCATTTTTTCAGATCTACAAGTTTAACCCCTACATTCCTGGCTAGGCTGGAGCTCCTTGACAGGAAGGCAGCACTTGCCCACTGTTGTTTCCTAAGTATCTAGAACAGAGTCAGGCTCATAATTGCCTCCAATAACCCTTCAAGTAGAGTCCACAGGATGTACTGGCAGAGGGCAGGACAAGGACACTGGCAAGAGGTTACAGGGGCCCTGAAGGAGGGAAAGTGTCTTGCCCCAGGCACAGGTCAAGCAGGAGATCAACAGTCCCTACTTGGGAGCTCTATCAGGGCCTTTTCCTTTCATTGCACTGTGCTGGAGGGAGCCTGGCCCTACAGAAGTGTTCTAGAGGAAAATGCCTGAGAAACTCTGGGTTAAGCCAAATGAAACCCGTAGTCTTCTCAAAGCCTTTAATATGCTCACATGCGTATGGTCTTGGAGAAGGTCACATCCAGCAACCCTTCCTCCATCTAGCACAGAATCCCTTCCTGTGGAACAGTGTGAACCCTTTGCATGTCCTTCTGTTGCTTATCATGACTATTTGGTGAACATGGAACAGCACATTTGTTGTAACTTTTTTTTTTGGGGGGGGGGGGACAGGAAAATCCTTTCTGACAAAATTACTCCACACCCCAGTATACAAATAGGATAAAAATAGAATTCTTCTGGCTGAAGTGGGGCCTGGAGATCCCTCTGGCCATCTTTTCACTGCTGTCATCCATGCAAGAGCCCTGTGGAGCCCATTTTGAAAACCACTGGTGGAGAACTATGAGCACAGGGTTGAAATTAGGAAACTTGTGGTGCCAGCTCTCCTGTTAACTCTTTCGCCTTGGGCAAGTCATTTGGCCTTACTGGGCCTTGACTTCTCCATTTATATCACTCTGTTGGACTAGACGTTTTCTAGCATCCTATACTTTCAGCTTTGATATGAGGACCAGAAATTTATGACTGCAAAAACCTAGCTCTTAATGTCCCATGGCTAAGATTCCACTGCTTAGAATTCCAATTTTGGGGATGGCCCGTAGCCAGCCAGTGCTGATGCAGCACACTGGAACCCAGGCTGAAAAAAGCAGAATTATATTAAGTGCAGTGCACTGCCCAGGGGCACCAGGCTCCCTGGAGAGGGCACGCCCTCTGCAGGATGGAGGGAGTGGGATGGGGAGGGCTGGGGGGAACTGGATCAGCAACCACTGTGGGCAGAGCTGAGAGAGGGACCCAGGTCTCCTGCTCTATCTTTAGATCTCCTTAGCAACCGTAACCAGGGCACCCAGCTGAAGGCACAGGCTGAGCCAGCCACCTGCGGGAAGAGGGAAGGTGTCTGCCTCCAGGCCTCTTCTTAAGCTACAGAAAGGGCTCTGGGCTGCCCAGACTCTAGAGCCAGAGAAAGGAGATTGAATGCAAAGCTGCTTGCAGTGGGACATGTTTGGAGCCAATACAGAGGTCATCCAGGATAATGCCTTGCTCCAAGAATGCTGGCAAGTCAGAATCCAAGGCTTTCAGTGCACAAGGTACATAAATTATGGTCCTTGTCCAGAGAGCATTTAGCTTCTGCTGGGGTCATTCTCTAAACACAGAAGGTTTAGAGGGTTTAAACCTAGGGTTCTGAGCTGGCATGAACACCACTGTTGGAGCTCCTAAAGGGCCTTCTAACTGGAAGAACCAGGGCAGCTCCCCACTTCTCCTGCCCAACTGCTACTTATCCTAGACTTGGCTTCCTTGGAGGAGTCCTCCTGACTCTAAGGCTGGATGCTTACCAATCAGGGCTCCCACAGCCCTCGTTCCACACAGCAGGATGCCAGGAAGAAATGCTTAACCCTATAGTGTAGAAACAGAAATCCTAAGAGATGAAGACATTTGCCTAAGGTTACATGGCAAGTGAGCAGCAGGGCCATGCCTGGATGCCATGACTTCTGATTCTAGTCTGAGATTCTTCCCGTGTCCCTGCAACAGGCCCCTGGTCAGGCTTTGGAAAGGAGATCCGGGCTAGAAGAGAAAGTAGGAGTCCTTAGTCAGGCCTGCACACAGCAAGCACTTGGCCATGTCCTCGGTAAACTTGGGGGAGCCACAGACCAAGGCAAATGGCTTTCTCCGACATCGACTAACCAGCTCTTCAATCAGGTCCTGGTCCAGGTGACCAAAGTGGGTCTTCTCTCGGTAACTCCAGGGAAGCTGCTCTGGAGAGTTCTCCTGGGAAGATCAGAAAGAGCGGGAGTGACTACCATGGGTTCCTCAGAGTTCATATTGCCAGCTCTTCTCTACCAAATGAGGAAAGAGACGCAGAGAGGATAGGAAGCAAACTTAGATCCTCATCACCCTGGCAGCAGTCTTGGGAGCTGTTACCTCCCAGAGCGGGGGAGGTATGGGGAGGAGAAGAGGCTTCCCTGGGAAGGTGCAGAACTCTACTCTTACCACTTCTCACTGCCTCTGTAGCTGACACTGGCAGGGAGCGGTTCTCCCCATAGATAAGGGGGTTTCCAGGATCCCTAATTCGATCCATTACTGTCACCTCAGGGCATACTTTTGTTCATTTGTTTTAAGGTTTCAATGAATTCCTTGTTTATTTTAAAGATGTTTGCCAGGTGCCCACTGATGCCAGGTATGATGGTAGGGGACATGGTGGCTGCTCAAACAGATGAGTCTCTAGGTCTTGTCCCAGCTGTGTGTAACACAGGTCCTAGGCAGCAGAGCCGCCATAACAAAAGGGGATCTATCCTTCACATAGAGGCCCAAGAGGCCCAGGCCCCTGCTCTTCCTGCCCTCCATCTCTGGCTCACAGTTGTCCTCCTCCCTTAGGTTCATGAAGTAATCGGTCCACCTCTAGCTGACTTAGAAGAATTTCTTTTTCTATTTTAAGTAAACATTTTATTGAAATATAACTTACACATGGAGAAGTGTACAAATCATTAGGTGTACACAGTTTGAAGAACTTTAATAAAGAGAAGAAACCATATCATTAGCACACAACTAAGCCCAGGGCAGGACTGACACTCTGGAGACCTATGAAGGCCAGCTGCTAGTTCCTGGGGCCAGAGAGGATGGAGAGAGGGGGTTCGAGTTGGAATCTTAGCTGCTCTGTCATTTCCTGTGTGACTGACCTCTCTGAGCTATGGATGAGGACACAGGCTGTGGAAAACCCTGGTCCAGCAAGCCACAGAGGGTGAAACCTTGTAGAAGCCCTGGATGCTGAGGCTTCTAGCATCAAGTTTGCTCACAGGGCCTTGGAGCCCTACCTCACAGAGCTTATCTGACCCCAAAAGCCCTCTTGCACTGGAGAGTGAAGGAGTCCTCCTGATGATGTGAATCCTCCCACACTCCCTTCACAGTCTGAGCCTATACTCCCTCCACGGTCTGACTCATCCTAAGGGGCCTCAAGGGCAGGGCCTGGTAGGGCCTGCTGGCTTCACTTCTCCTTCCCAATGCTCAGTTCCCTCAGGCCAGTTGGCTTTGCCTGCCGCCACCCTAACTGTGCACCCCAAAGTGCACTGGGTCTGGCTGCTGCTCAGGTCAGGAGGGGCCTGTAAGCAATGATGGTGTGGCAAGTAGAGGAGGAGAGTGGGGCTGTAACAGCAGAACACCAGCACCACCCAGGGGCTCTGGGCAAACATCCAGGATGAGCTCCCCTCGGCAGGATGCGAAGGGTAAGCAGGTGTTAAGAAAGGGAGGGGGACAGCTCCCCTGGCAGAGGACACAGCTTGAGTAAAGGCCTAGCAGCCAGGAAAGCAGAGCTCACTTGCACCACTGAGCAGACCAGTGACACCAGGACACAGCACACAGGGAGGCTGGGCCAGGAGGCAAAACTGTACATTCTGCCAGGGCTACTGAGTTTAGACACTGTCCTAATGGCAGTGGGGAGCCAGGAAAGAGCTGGAGCAAAGTGGTAGTCCATCAAATCTGTCATTTAGGCTGCAGAATAAACAACAAATTGGCAGGGAGTAACTGGAGTGGGAGACCCCGAAGGACACAATTTCCAGGGCCCAGTTAGGGGAGTAGGAGCCCTCGAGGGAGTATGAAGGGGCAGAGCCATCATCCTCAGCCCCTTTTACCTGCCCCTCCATCAATGGGCAGCCCACTTCCCTGCCCAACCCCAGGCCTCTGCAACATCAAAGCCCTAAGGTCAACTGCTCCACAAAGCCCTCCCAATTCTGCCTGCTGGCCATCAGCATCCTGACCATCCTTGCCTCTCAGCATCTTGTGCTGTGCTATCTTACAGTGATGAGCACAAAGAGAAAGGCCACTGAGCAGGACCACTTGGCCTGTCCCAGCATCCCAGCTCTCTACCAGCTGGCTGGGTTATTTTGTTCTTAATCATTTTTGCCTCAATTTCTACATCTTAAAAGGGGCATCATGGCAGTACAAGCCCCATGAGACTCTGTGGAGATTAAATTAGTTCCTACACACAGTGCTTCAAATGATACCAGGCAGAGAAAGTGCTCAAGGAGAGGGAACCCTTATCAGCTGTCCTGTCCTTGTGCCATCTCTCCGTGCACAGTTGAGCGCCTACAGGGCAGGGAGTGGGTCATCTTCACTTTTGTGTCCTGGAATTTTGTAGGCATGTGGGTGGGGGACAGAGGACAGGAGAGCTGGTCAGCATCCAAGGTGGCTACCACCCTCCTGCCCCGCTCCCACTATCCTGGGCAGGGGCACCATGGCCTTCCTTCACCCACTCCCTCAGGCTGCACACTAGCCTCTGGCTTTGTGCCCTGCCTGGGTACTTCCTGCTGCTTCTAATGTTCACCAAGCATGACCCTCTTGATGTGCTTACCACTGAGCACTCTGCCCCATGGACAGGCCACAGACCCTGGCTCCTGGGGAGCCCAGAAACTCTGGTTTGAGGAAGGGAAATCCAGTTTCCTAACCCAACCCTCACCCACCTGACCACAGTGCTGAGGATCAGCTAAGTGACAGATGCCTCAAAGAGGAAATTAATGAGAGGGGTGTCCACATTACAGGGCAAGAAGACTGACCATAAGCAAAAAGGAATGCTGGGAGGCCCCAGGAGGGACCCTCAAGCCAGCAGGTGCAAGGAGAATTGAATCTATAGACCAAGGAAGGCAGAAGAACAAAGGCAGCTGAGGACCTGGCTTGAGATAAAGCGCAAAGACGGTCCTCCTTCTATGGTGGGGAGGATCCAAGAAGGGTCACTAGAGTGAATGAAGGGTATAGGGAACCGGAGGGAGGCAGTATCAGAAGGCGGTGTGACTTACAGATAAAGAATCTGCAGCTTGGGGAGTCTCATGAGAAGATGAACTGAGGTGATGGGGAACCTTCTAAATGGAGGGAACCTGGATCCAGCTTGGACCATCAGTTGCTGACACAGTCTCTACTTTGTGCCTGGCACTACATTAATCCCTGAACAAACAGTGCTGACCCAAACATGTGGTCCTGGTCCCAAGGAACTGAATACATCGAGCCTGCCCTGACTCCACGGCTGGTCCCAGGTCACACAGCTGGTGATGCCAGAGGGTGGGGGAGGCAGCAAAGGATGGTGGGAGGAGCTAGAGCTTGGGAAGGAGTCAGTCCTGGGCTCAAATCCTGGCTCAATCCTGTCTACAGTGTGACACAACTGTCTTTCGCTGATGAGTTCTGTGTACATTCTGCATAAGAACATGGTGAGAGCTGGGCACAGGGGTACATACCTATAACTGCAACAACTCAGGAGGCAGAGGCAGGAGGATTATAAGTTTGAGGTCAGCCTCAGCAATTTAGCAAGACCTTCAGCAACTTAGTGAGACTGTCTCAAAATTTTAAAACTGTAAAGGACTGGGGATGTAGCTCAGTGGTAAAGTAATAAAAAGAACTGGGGATGTAGTTTAGTGGTGAAGTGTTCCTGGTTCAATCCCTAGTGCAAAAAAAAAAAAAAGAGACCATAGTAATACCCGCCTTCTGTGCCAGGAGCCTGTGGGTATACTACCAGTGACAGGGATTATTAGCGCAACGTGGCGCAAAGAGGTTGGTCCTTGGGATGGATGCAAGGTGACTGCAGAGTCTCAGGGAGGGAAGTCACCTCCCTGGGCTTACCTGGCTGAGTATGAAGAAGGTGCGGACATTCCAGAAACGGGTCTGCTCCTGGAGGAAGGTTTTCAGATAGATGCTCTCAAAGGTCTTGAAGCAGCAGACCAGGGTGACGAAGGTCTCATCATCTTCATTGTCTGTGATGCTCTGCAGGATGGGCACCATGGGAGCCAGACCTGTGCCTGCAGCCAGCATGAGGAGCTCACCATACTGGGGAGTAGAATGGGCATGACAGGTGGATTGAGGGTCTCATCCCACCTGTCCTGCTTATGGGCCTTTTCTTGGTTTTGCTTGAACCAGAAGCAGTGCTCTTTCTGGGTTTCCACCCATCTATGCCCCCTCTCTTCTTCTTCAGGAAGTCATCCTGGCTTATGAAAGGCATATGAGGTATGTATAACAGAGATTAAGGAGTCTTGAGGCTGAAAGGGAACATAGCAGTGTAGTCCAACCTGAACCCGGGCTTGTTTGACTTCTAAAGCATTGCCACAAGGACTCTGCTCACAGCTTCTGCTGCCATGGAACTCACTGCCTCCCAAATCAGCTTGCTCCATCATAGGCCAACTGCCCCTGCTAGGGAGATCTCTCCACCTCACGCTGAGCTGAAACCTGCTCCCTCCAAAGCCTTGCCCACTTCCAACTCCATCACAGCACTATTCTCTGGGCTACTTCCTTTGCCCCTAGGCAGCCTTGAAGATATCTCTGGGCCCCATCTTGGACCCCAGAGCCTACCCTTCTCTAGACTAAATGCGACAATATACGCAAGTGTCTAACACAGCATTGGTCCAAAAGAGTCATGCAATCAAGGTAAGTTCCTGCTCAAGAGGCCTAGTTCCCTCAATTCCTCTCACTAAACTCATTTCCTGGCTCTAGATCTCTTAAAGAGGGGCAAGCCTTCTTAAGATGAGTGCATCAAAAGCTAGTGCCTGACCCCCATGCAGAGAAGTATTCACTTCCCTCATTCTAGAGATTAGGCCTCTGTGTAGAAATACCAAACCATATGATCTGGGCATTTTTTTTTTTTAAATCAATATGGGCCTCAGTTTCTTAATTGGTAAAAAAAAATTTAAAAAAAAAGCCAGGGTGGTGGTGCATATCTATAATCACAGATACTCGGGAAACTCATGTAGGAGAATCATAAGTTTGAGGCCAGCCTCAACAACTTACTGAGACCCTGTGTCAAAATAAAAAATTAAAAGGGCTGGGGATGCAACTCAGTGGTAGAGCATACCTGGGCTCAATTCCCAATAACACATACACACACACACACACACACACACAATTGCACTTCCTCATAATGACACCTATCTCAAAAAGTGTTTTGAGGCTCATAAGAAATGACATAAAGTGCCTGGTGAGGAGCTGAGGTTTAATCCAATTAGACTGCTTCCCTTTGCTAGGCTCAGGATACCCTCCTACCTGCTGTTGTGGGGCCATGTCCTGCTGTCCTTGTTCATGCAACCTCCCATCTCCATGTCTTCAGCCTGCCTCAACCCACCCTGAACTTCTCCATGTTCAGGCTGTCTTCTGGGAAGCCTCTCCCAGCCAGGGCCAGGGAAGGGGGTCTTCCTTTGTGTTTTCATAGCTTGCTGTGCCTCCCTTGATATAACAGAGGCATACTGTTGTCATCTGTTTGTGTGCTTGTCTCCTCCATCAGACTAAGTGGGAGGACAGAGGCCTTGTCTGATTTACCTCTGGTCCCTGGAGTCCAGCATGAGCAGGAGCCTGGGTAAACAATTCTGTCTATTGCATGAGCACACTCATGCTTGGGTGTCAGCCTCAGGGCTGATATAATATCTGTCTGTAATGAGACAAGTGCAGAGAAGCAAAGCAGGCTGGCAAGAGGGGAGCAGCACCCAGGCATTCTCGTGGGAGAAAAACCAGCCCTGATCAAGGCTTCCAGTGGCCAACAGGAATGTTTGAGACAATATCGCCTTTCCCTCACTACTGGGCCCTATATCCTCACAGATGAGAAATACAGGGGCTAGCACTGGAGGTGTAGCTCAGTGACAGAGTGCTACTATGCACCAGGTCCTGGGTTCAACCATCAGTGCTGGGAAAAAAAAAAGATTAATAAATGCAGGGGGGCTGGGGATGTGGCTCAAGCGGTAGCGCGCTGGCCTGGCATGTGTGCGGCCCGGGTTCGATCCTCAGCACCACATACAAACAAAGATGTTGTGTCCGCCAAGAACTAAAAAATAAATATTAAATAAATAAATAAATGCAGGGGCTTTTGAGTGTTTGATGGATATAAAGGATAGCAACATGGCATCAGAAGGTTCCCTCCTGGAAAAAGTGGTCAAGACAAACTTTTTTATCTGGTGTCTACCCTAGGCAAGGAAGAAATAGGAACAATTTCCTTGCCCTGCTCTCAGGGACTGGGGGGCCGGGACACACTGAGCTAAAACACAGGGTTGAGTGCAGTTAGTACTGGGGAGTCCTATGGAATCCTGTGAAAGAGCACTAACGTGTACACATGCATGTGTAAACTGGAGACAGAAGTACCTGAAAACTGTTGTGGGAACTGAGTTAACATATATCAAGTGCTAAGGTCAGAGTATGTACACTGAAGGTGCCAAATATGTGTCTGATGGTATTATTTATTTATTTTCCTTTTTTTATGGTGCTGGGGATGGAATCCAGGGCCTTGTGGATGCTAGGCAAGTGCTCTCCCACTGAGCTACACCCTGTCCCTGATAGCATTATAATACATACATATGTGCAAGTGCTCAGTATGCATACCTGTGTATGTACCTATGCCAACATACCCACTCATGAAAGAGGATTTGGAAGAATACACATCAAGGTAGCAACCTGGTATCTAAAGAAATGGCCTGCAGGTGTTTGTTGTTTTCTTGTTTTTGCCTCTATATAGCTAAAGCTCTTTTTTCTGGATAATGAATATGTACTGCATTTATAATAAAGAAAAAAAAAACAATAAATGCTATTTTAAAATTAAACAAAAAGAAAGATGAGGTAAGCATGATTCATTCTTTTCCATTTGTTTTTGTTTTGCTTTGTTTTCCTAATTATAAAGGTAATAGGTGATCATCGAAGAAAATTTAGAATGTATAATTTTGGAACATATAATAAATGAAGAAAATAAAAATCACCCATAATTCTACCATTCAGAGTTTAGCATATTACATTGTATTTTCCTTTCATATTTTTTCTGTGCCTTTTCAGTTAGTTTCTCAACCTGGTATATATTCAGTTTTTTACCTAATGTTTATTACTTGATCTTGTAGCATAAGCATGCATTACTTATTTATTTATTATTATTTTGTGGTGCTGGGGATTGAACCCAGGGCCTTGTGCATGCAAGGCAAGCACTCTACCAATTGAGCTATATCCCCAGCCCAGCACGTATCATTTATAAGCAAATTATGTTTTAAAACCCAAGATAATACTCTATCAAGTGCCTGCATATTTGTATACTGGAACCCAGAATATTTAACTGTACCTCTAATGTTGGATATTCAATTATCTCCAATTTTTTGTTATTACACACACACAAAAAAAACATGAATACATGCAAAGTAGTCAGCATTTTGGATTCTTTCCACACAAAAGACTTCTAGACATGAAATTACTGGGTCAAAGGATTTAAAGATTCTTAAGACTCTTGTTATATACTGCCAAACTGCTCTTCAAATATGCACCAACTGAAGAGGAATTGCTAAGTATTCCTGGGAAAATCAAGGAAGTAACATGCCATGAAGACGAGGGCAATAGCCTTCTGAGCTGGGAAGCAGTGGGCTCCTAAGCAGGGAGCCATGGCTATATTTGGCCCTATGAGTGGAATGCACAGAACAGCACCTGAGGGTTATGTGGCACGGACTCCTAAACACCAAGTAAATGAGTCTGGTTTTCTGAGCAATGGGCAGCCACAGATAGTCTTGGAGCACAGCAGGTGGTTTTGTTTATTAGTGTCTATTCCACTATTCTATCTCCTCCCTTTCTCAACTCCAAGGATACTCTCAGGATTGAGTTTAAGCTTATGAACAAAGGCACAGTGAGGTTCTATGGCCTAAAATATGAGAATCACAGCCCTGGAGGTAAGCCAGGGGCATCTCCTAAACACTTAGGGTGCTGGCACTGACCTGATTTGGTTTATAGAAGAAGTTTCCAAAAGGTCCTCGCCAAAAAGCTGTGTCTCCCACTCTCCAGGACTTGACACACCGGGACATCAGCCCTGTCTGATAGCACTGAAAGCAAACACAGGGAGAACTCAGTGGGAAAGGCATATGCTGCCAACACAAACCACATTTGTCATTAGTGTGGAGCTCTTCCTGCATGCTGAGGGCTTTACATATGTTCTCGCGTCTAATCCACCTCTGCACCTACAGGTTGGTACTGTCATCCCTGATGTTCAGATGAGGCCCATAAATTCCCACACAGGGAGATGGCAAGGCTGGGATACAAATCCACAGGACTGTAGTCTTCACCAAAGATCTCAACTCAAATGCCCACAGGGGCCCACAACCAATTGTTAACAATTTCAGTGATAGGGAGCAGTAGGGAGTGGTGGGGACTGTGATATACTGGTGAGATTGTGTTCCTTCTAGGGAGGACCACTTTGCAGGTACCAAGCTATAGTTTGTGGAACTGATGATGCCAAATCTTCTGATTATCTAAAACAGGCAGCAAATCTGTATTTTTATTTATAGTCTCCCATTTTAAAATGACAGTAATTAATAAAAATTTAAAACACTATATAGGCCAAAATCAAATATATTTTGGGCTGGATCCGGTTTGCAGGCCAAACATCTGCAATGTCTGAATTATCCTACACCATGTGCTGAATATATGAGAAAATGAAGGTTGTGGAAGGGATTCCTCCATGGGAAGTGGGCAGTCTATGTTGCCTGGGTGCCACCCACTCTGTGCCAGGCACCATGCTGGGATTGCAGGGGAGACAACTGGACCTTAAGCTCCATGAAGGCAACCAATGTCTGAACCATAGAAAGGACTTAATATCTCAATGAATTAATTAATCAGTCAATCCAAATTCAGGCCCTCCCCTTAAGAGTAAACAATCTGGAGCTGGGGGTGTAGCTCAGTGGTAAAGCACTTGCCCAGCACACAGGAGGCCCTGGGTTCAATGACTAGCAATACACACACACACACACACACACACACAATCTAGAAGGAATGTACAGCTCAGATACACACCTAATTCCCATGAGAAGGATAAAATGCTAGGAGAGTACAGCCAGGCTTAAAGAAAAGACTGGGCTTTGGTCTCCAAACATGTTTTCCATCACCCAGAACCACCTTGGATACCACCTTTGCTTCTGCAGCTATCATCTGCATAAGCAAAAGGAAAGTCCTGCCAGGTGAGGTGTCACGCTGGCTGGTAATCCCAGCAACTGGCTGGGAGGCTAAGGCAGGAAGATTGTGAGCTCAAAGCCAGCCTCAGCAACTTATGGAGGTTCTAAACAAGGGACCTATAATGTCTGAATTACCCTACACCATGTGCTGAATATGTGAGAAAATGAAGGTTGTGGAAGGGATTCCTCCATGGGAGGCGGGCAGTCTATGTTGCCTGGGTGACACCCACTCTGTGCCAGGCACCATGCTGGGACTGCAGGGGAGATGACTGTCTCTAAATAAAATATAAAAAAGGGCTGGGGATGTGGAACAGTGATTATGCACCCTTGGTTCAACCCCTAATACCCCCCCAAAAAAGGCAGGGGGTTCACCTGGAAGAGGTCTGAGAAGAAGAGTCCTTTTTTTTTTGCAATGCTGGGGATGATCTTAGGGTGTTCCATGTTAGGGAAGGGCTCTACCTCTGAGCTCTACCACCAAGGAGGGCAAAGTTTTGCTCCTGCCTTTCTGGAGACTGGGTCTTAGAGCATACTTTGTTTTCTGACCCTAGTCTGGCGGGGAGACACAACCCCAACTGTGGCCTCAGAGGCCCTATGCCATAGACAGTACCAGGAAGAAGTGAAAGATTCTTTTGAGTCTCTACATGGACTGGTTTGGAGGAGATGCTCAAGATGCACTGCAAAACAAAATGGACACTGAGCTTCTATCCTTCTACTTGGGGTCATATTGCCTGAGGACCTTTGAGCTTCAGTTTCTTCATCTGTACAATGGGGCTAATATAATCTACTTGTCGTTATAAGGTTGAATTGAGAACAAAGAGCCAGAAGCAGTGTCCCGTACCCTGCAGGTGTCTCAGAAGTGCAGCCTCCCTCCTTTCTACAAGGGGAGGCAAACTGGAAAAACCCCACTGCCTTCCCAATTTGCAAAGACATTTCTGGCTTTTCCTAGCCAGCGGCTTAGGGATAATGAGGTGCCTCTCTAAAGAGAGGCTTTCCAGCAAACGAAGGAGAAAATCAGCCTTACAGCTGGGAGGGATCCAGCTGCTCTGGAGAACTGTCTCCAGGCTTATCCTCTCAGCAGAAACACACCCAGACAAGCAGCGCAGGGAAGCAGGCCATTTGGAGAGGATTTGCAGAATCTCCCAGACAAACATCAGCGTGCAGAAGGGATCCCATCCAGGATTATGTGTGAGGGAATAAACATTTGAGTTCTGAAGCAGGCAGGGCAGGCAGGGAAGTGGGAGGGAAGACAACACCGGCATCTTGGAGTCAGGGGCAGGGCTCATCCCCCACAGCACTGATTAGTTATGGACCTTGGGTTCCCCTGGGCTTCAGCTTGCTCATCAATGAAATAGGAATAATAATTCATGTTTTAAAGGGAGATTAGGATGGGAAAGCTATCCTTCTACATTGGTGTTCCCCAGGATTCCATCTGGGAATGATGGGCTAGAGCTCTACTGTGAAATGCTATTTCTAAGTAAAAAATGTCAGAGTATCAGCCATTTCGTGTAGTTCAATCTAATTATTTTTTCTGCATAGGACCTCCATGACTCCTTGTACATTTGTTGCCCACTCCTTGGGTCTCCAGGGCACTTTGCATCTGACACACTTGCTCATCTCATCTCAACCAACTCCTCCACTTGTCCTGACTACGCTATGAGCACCCTCTCCTCCTGTCACTTGGACAGGGTACAGTTCCTAGAAGACCTACTCTGTGTCACCACCTCCCTACATTTGGTTATCCATCCATCAGCCTACAATGCCATTCCCCACAACCACCAATTCATACTACTTCAAGTGTATCAAAGGCCCTGCCTCTGCTCACCTCCTACGCAGAGGTGATGTCAGGTTAGTTCAGTTCACAAAGTCCTCCACATCCCACCTTTTTCCTGATTCTCTCAACTCATATCCTCCTCCCTTGGCACGCATTCTTCTGTTCCGGGATGAATGACTTACTTCCCTAAATCCTGCCTGCAGAGACTCCTTCACACATTTCCCCTCACTCCCTGCTCCTTAAACACAGTTTTTTCCAGGAAGCATGGCCTGCCTTCCCTGCACCCCCAGCTGCCCTGAGTTGGGCTGGGCCTCCTCGATAACAGCATCTGTCACTCATGTCTCAGGGTTGGTTCCTTGAGGGTGGTCACCGTGTCTGACATACCTTTGAACCCCAATGCCCAACACACAGTGAGTGTGGAGATTTGGTTCTCCTCTACTTCCCAGTTCTGTGCTCATTCTTCACTGATAGGAAAAGGTGAAAAAGAATAGTTCCTCCTAAAATCTATAGAGAATATGCCCTCAGTCAGTCGTCCAGCAGACCCCTTCCCCAGGAAAAGGAGAGGGGAGAAGGCTCCCTTTACCTGGCCTGCTGTTCCTGTAAGTCAGCCTCTTCCCACATGAACACTGGATGGAAACTGTTCGATCCCAACCAAGCTGGCAAGGGAGGTACCAATTCACGACATCTTAGGAGCATCCTCCAAAGAGTCAACTCACCTTGATTAAAACTTCAAAGTATCCTTTTGCATTGGCAGGGCTGATGGGCGTGTAGGCTCTCTGAATTTCCAAGTCATCTACTATCCCTCTAGGAAGGAGAAATACACAGTCAGGTGGTTAGCCAGTCATTCAACAAACCCTTATCAAGAACTTTCTCTTGGGCTGGGGATGTGGCTCAAGCAGTAGCGCGCTCGCCTGGCATGCGTGCAGCCCGGGTTCGATCCTCAGCACCACATACAAACAAAGATATTGTGTCTGCGGAAAACTGAAAAATAAATATTAAAAAAAAAAACTCTCTCTCTCTCTTTAAAAAAAAAAAAAAAAGAACCTTCTCTGCCAGACTGATGAATCTGAAGATGGAATCCAGATATCCCCAGAGATTTCACTGAGAGGCAAGGTACAGCAAAACAAAGAGCACTGAACTCATCCTCTGCCATATGGTGGTTGTGACAGGCAAAGTAATTTAATATTCCAGCTGCCCCTTCTGCAAAATGGAGACAGCCATCTATGTCCTGACTATGGGGCCACTGGAATTACAGGTGGAAGAGTGCTTCAAAAAGCACTGATGATGGGGCTGAGATTGTGGCTCAGCGGTAGAGCACTCACCTAGGGTTTGATCCTCAGCACCACATAAAAATAAAGGCATGGGCTGGGGATGTGGCTCAAGTGGTAGAGCGCTCTCCTGGCATGCGTGCGGCCCGGGTTCGATCCTCAGCACCACATACAAACAAAGATGTTGTGTCCGCCGAAAACTAAACAATAAATATTAAAATTTTCTCTTAAAAAAAAATAAATAAATAAAGGCATAAAAAATGTGGTATGTCCATTCAATGGACTATTATTTGAAAAAAAAAAAAAAGCACTGATGATGGGGCTAGTTTTATAGCTCACTTGGTAGAGTGCTTGCTTTGCATGCACAAGGCCCTGGGTTTGATACACACACACACAAAAACAAACAAACAAACAAAAAAAAACACACTGATGATGTAAGCAATTTTGGGGACACTGCTGTGGTTTTTCCTGACCTTGTCTCAACTATGTAGTGATAATAAAGATTAAAAAAATTGTTTAGATTTATGAAACACTATCATGCACCCAGAGTATCAAAACTGGAAGGATTCTCAAAGGAACACTAGTCCAAAGCCCTATCCCCTGCATGAGTCCTCTCTACAATGTTATCATGGGGTCAGGATAGCAATCATGAGTAACAATAATAGCCAGGTTGTATTAAATGCCTACTATGCACCAAGCATATTATACATGCTATTTCATTTCATTCAAATGATATCCACATGCAGAATCCTATGCTTAGAGAAGTCAATCGCACAGCTAGAATTCAACTGCAACTCAACTCCAAAGCCAGGTTCCCCACCACTACTACTCACAGCTTTTAAAGAGCACCCAAGCACTCTTTTCCAGGCTTGTCATGTGCAAAATGTTCTTCTCTGAGGTATGCAAGGTTAAAAAGACCCTGTCTCGATGCATCAAAAGCAGGGCACTAAACAGAAATATTTAATAAATGCTTATGAAACAAATGAGGAAACAAGAACAGACATATGAGATGACATAGATGCAAAGAGCCAGCACGTCTGCTGCAACAGAGGTAAAGCTGACAGAGGGAGCAATCACTCTCATCTGTAGAACCCCAAAAACCTCCTGGAGGACTAAGGGATAAGCAGGCCACTGACAGATCACAGTAGGGACAGGAAAAGAAGTAACTGCAGGCATATGGGGCAGCCCAGGCAAAAGCTTAGAGGCAGGACAATGTCGACAAGTCAGGAACTGGCGTGGGATGGCAAGGCTCAGACAAGGAACACATGTGGAGTGGGGGACAGGGAAGAATTTGGTGGGAAGGGAGGCTGGAGGCCTTGGCTTAGGATGTTATCATGGAAGTACTGAGGTGCATCAGAGAGTGAACAGGGAGTGACATGGTCAGTTGAATACGTTAGGAATGTCACTGGGATAGTGAGGAGGATGGAGGAGAGAAGCCAGTCTAGAGGTAGGGGTTCTGGGCATCCCTGGCTTACGGATTAAGGGTTGCATGAGGCTGTGACCTGCCTGGGGCTCTCCTGCCTCCTAGAACAGTGAGCCTCAAAGACTGCCAGCCAGGCCAAGTCCGAAGCACCTAGACACATACCTGGAGTCTGATCAGCAATAAGCTCTCTCCTGGTGCCCACCTTATCCTCTGATTGCACCTTATGTCTCCTTTGCCAGCTCCTCTTTCTCTTGCCAGTCCCATAAATTCCAGAATTTTCAGGGTTCAAATCTATCCTCTTTCCTCTTTTCATACAAACACATATGCTCCTAAATGCCATCCAGATATGGGCTGATGACTCCCAAATCCAGATCTCTCTGATGAACCCCAAACTCATAGAACTGACTGCCTGGCTGACACCAATCCCTGGATATCCCAAAGGATCTTGTCCCTGGAAAGGTGGGGGCAGGAATCCAAGTGGGTGTAGAGCACTAAAGCAGGTCAGGACAAACCTCAGAGAAGTGGCTAAGAGTATAACTCAGGAGCCAAGCTGTTTTGATTTGAATCCTGGCTCCATTGACTTCTCAGCTATGTGATATTGGGCAAGTTTATTTTCAGTGACAGTGTCATTTCTGTCAACTGGTGTTAACCATAATAGGTTAAAATCATAGGCCCTAGAGCCAGATTGCTTGTCTTCAAATCCTGGCTCCAACATTTCCTAACTGTGTGACCTGGACCAAGTTCCTAAATCTCTCTGAATTCAGGTTCCTGTGGGGGATTATAGTGGCAACTACTCACACAGGACTTTGTGAGGGTTATGTGAATTCACACATACGAATGCACACACTGTGCCTTGGATAATAAGTGCTGCTAAAGTGCTTGTATTATTATTTTTCATGATAATGCATTATCTAGTTCTAGTTCCATCTGAAGAACATCTGAGTCATATATTGCTATTTTGAAGAAGACAAATGAAGGCTTAAGGGCGGTCAGGCAAGTTGCCTAAGGCCACCAGTTAGGACAAGGTAGGCAGGCAGCAAGGCTCTGGTCCTCCCGTGACCTGAATGTACCGTAGGACGAGGTGCTGCCCAGGGTGCAGGCTGAGTTGGCTGTTCCCAGGTAGAGCAAATCGAACATGGTAGGTGTCCTTAGTGAGTTTGTCCAGGGCACAGATGCGGAAGGCCAGGAAAGTCTCTGGGCTCAGCTTGGAGGGGCAGCTCTGCAACAGGAAAAGACCTGACAGCTAGAGGCTGGGCCCAAGGGACACAAAAGCATCCTTCCCATGTTCTCCAAGGAGAGCTGTGTTGGTAAGTTTTCTGTGTAACACAGAGTAGTGCCACCTTATTTCCCTCTAATCCAAAAATATGAGAGCATTTTATATTCAGCTCATCTTACTCTTAAACCTTCCATGGTTTCCGTCAGTCCCAGGATCAAATGAAAGTTCCTTAGCTTATACTTAAGGGTCCAGTGAATAACCTTCAAGCCTCAGTTTATCTCCCATGCATCAGATGCCAGACTTTTCTCCCTCTTCCAAAGAACACCTGCTGTCTCTAACCTCTGAGTCTTTAGCTGCCCCAGTTGTGCCCTCTCTCCAAGACACCTTCAATGCATGAGACCTGCTCAGCATTCAAACCTGTCAAGTTCTAGATGTGCAAAGTTGAGAAGTTAAAGGCACTTTAAAGATGATTTAATCCAATATCCTTATATTATATATGGGTAAAATGAGACCTGAGAGGTAGTGGCTTACTTGCCCAAAGTCACACTATAAACAAGGACTCAAATTCATGTCTTCTAGGACTCAGCCTACTGCCATTACCATTCCAACCCCATTATCAACTCCTCCAGGAAGATTTCTTTGAATGCCATGACTCAGAATTTTCTCTTCTGGAAAATACCCACACCTTACTCAGCTGACCTGAGACTCCCTCTTGTCCAAATCAGAGTGCAGCACCAACTGTGAAACTCCCACTATTCATGGGAATGCTGACAGCATCACAGAACTAATGCTCTCAGGCTTGGTATCCAAGACTTTTCCTCCACTGTGCCCTCTCCCACCCTACTAGATCCCCCATGAGGCCACAGCTGCCTGGGGCTCTGGAAAGAGCACTGGACTGAGTCAGGAGCACTAGAGTTAGCTCCAGTTCTGCTGCTGCTCGTCTGTGGGGTCCCAGGGAAATCACTTGATCCTCTGGGTCTCAGTCTCCCGGTGTGTAAAAAGGGACCAACTCATCCCTGATAAACATATGGTTATCAGATGAGATAACAATATAAAAGCTTTTTTTTTGTTGTTGTACTGAGGATTGAACCGAGTAGCACCCTACCACTGAGTAAAGTCAGCCCTTTTTATTTTTTTTAATTTTTTAATTTTGAAACAAGATCTCACTAAGTTGCCTAGACTGGTCTTGAACCTGCAATCTTCCTGTCTCAGCCTCTGAAGTAGAAAGTATTACAGGCATGTACTACCATGTCCATCACAATACAAAAATATCTTACACAATGTTAATTGTAAAGGAAATGAGAAATCTCTATTATTATGACTATTAAACTTTTTAAAATAAAACTTACGCCAGGCCTGGTGGCACATGTTTGTAACCCCAGCAGCTTGGGAGGCTAAGGCAAGAAGATTGCAAGTGAAAAGCCAGACTCAGCAACTTAGCGAGGCCCTGGGCAACTTAGCAAGACTCTGCCTTTAAATAAAAAATAAAAAAGGACTGGAGATGAGGCTCCATGGTTAAGCACCTCTGAGTTCAGTTTTTGATATAAAAAAAAAATTTAAATAAATAAAATTTATTATTAGGTTGAAATATACTGTTTTACAAGATTGGCAAAATTAACTTTCTTTCATTTAACTTTCCATTTGTTATGATAGGTGATGACAGCACTATTTACTGAGCATCTACCATGTGCCAGGTACTTTATTTATTTATCCCATGAAATCCTCATAATAACCTCTGAAGTATTAATATTCCCATATTCAGATAAAACTGGGTTTAGCAAACTAAAGTGACACACAATTAACTGGCCTAACCAGGCCTCAGCTCTTACTTTGTACATCCTTATGGTCCTTGGTCCCTTTTCTACAAGCTGAGTTTACTGAGGGCTGGTGTCCTGGAATCTTTATCAACAACTTCCTTGTGCCTAACACACAGGACATGGTACTCAGTAGACCTAGGATAAACTCACTCATTTGCTTAACAAATGTTTATTGACTATAATGCCAGGAATTGCTGGCAGAAGACAGAACAGTGAGCAAAACACAGCCCCACTCCTATGGAACTTACATTTTAGCAAAGAGACATGGACAATATGCTCATAAGCAAGTACATCTAGAAGGTGGCTGGTGGTACTGAGAATTAAGAAATGAAATTTGAGCAAACATCAGAAAAAAATGAAAGGGGGACTAGAATGGTAGCTCAGGGCTAGAGTCTTTGCCTAGCATGATTGAGGCCCTGGGTTTGATTCCCAGCACCAAAAAGAAAAAAAGAAAAACAACCCAAAAAGGAGTACAGAAATGATCCACGTGGAGATGAAGGGCAGAGAGAAGGAAGAAGCACAGCTGTCATGAACATTCCCCAGTCACTGGCAGAGACAGAGAGCTCGGGTCCCCACCACCACCTTCCAGGGGCAAAACTACAAGGGAACATTTAATAGGGATGGATATTAAGTCATGTTTTGGAGTTGAAAAAAAACCTGCATTTGTTTAGGATGTATGATCTATAGCTTAGGAACAACAAGCATAAAAATTACTGAAATTTGGTTCAGTTTGGAACCCAACAATGGGGAACAGTTGTCTGAAAAGTGATGGTGAGGCCCGATTACATTAAGACACAGAAATGGAAGATATCTCTCCTCCACAATGGACAACGGATATATATATATATACACACACACACACACACACACACACATTCATAAGTGTTACAAAAAGAAAAATTTTACTATTTAAAAAAAGCAAGGATGAAATAAGAAGAAAGAACAACATTCCCTATTTACTTCATATATATTATAAACTATTTTGCTCTGTAAGGGCAAGGACTGTATCTGTTTAGTTCCCTCTTAAATCTTTCATGGCTCATAGGTCCTGATGTGTAACAAGCACTCAATAAATATTTGTTACATGAAATAAATGTCAGAGTCTGTGCTAAACATCACAAATGTTTATCCCCATTATACATACGGTGAAACTAAGGCTCAGAGGATGAAAACCCCACAGCTGCTAATAAGTTTGTTCCAGGCCTGGACTTTGACCCTGGCTCTGTCTGTTCTCTGTATGTGCACTCTTTTTTGCTGTCCAGTCACATCTTCCCAGAGCTGGTTTGCAGGGGTGAGGCCAAGTAAACTCCACCACCCTGGCCCAGTAGTCTGCACAGCCTCTCACCTGTGACTGCTTCCCACTCAAAAGGCTCCTGTCGTTGCTGGCTCGGGCTGCCTCCCACCTTGCCAGATTTCGGTGGTAGAGGTCAAACACACAGGGTGAGCAGCCACTGCCACAGCACTGGGAAGGCAAGGGCTCCACAGGCCGCAGCTGTAGCCAGGCTTCCTCAGTGTCCTCTTCGTTCTCACCCATTCTCAGTGGGGCTTGGGCAGCCTGGGAGGGACAACAAGGTGCTCTTCCCCCTCCTTTGCTGGCCTGGGAGAAGGAAAACATGGGGGTTATACTCTGGTCTCCTCTATTCCTCACATTCTCACCATTCTGCAGGTGCCAGGCTCTGTGCAAACCCTGAGGATGGGGACACAGAATCTGCTATCTGATGTGATAACACTCACTACCGGTTTTAAGGCACTTTTAATTTTATTTTTGCAATACTGGGGATTGAACCCAGGGCCTAGTGAATGCTAGCAGGTGCTCTACCTACCCACTGGGCTACAGCTACAGCCCTACCATTGCTTTTAGAAGGGCAGTCCCTCTGTGTAAAATAAATTTTTAAAATATTTCAGCCTCAGAAAACCTGTTCTACTGTGCATGAGCTCTACTTCAGGAAAGCTTTATGGGCTGGAACCCTCACCAGTACAAGAATAATGTCTTATTCCTTCTACATTCTCCCACCAAGCACAGCTGGCATATGGAAGGCTCCCAGTAACTTGTGAGAGGTTTTTCACTTTACACATACAGATTGGGGGCTAGGCCCAGTGGTAGGTGCTGGGATGCAACATAGATGAGCAGAACATGGTCCTTATCTTTCTAAGACCTAGTATGGTGTTACATGAACCGAATCCATTTTTACTACATGCCATGTACCAGGTATGTATTATGAATAAATGAGGTGTGGTTTCTTCTTTGTGCTAATTTCCTATTCCCTACACTTTGGGGAGCTAAAATGAGGTAAGTAAGAGTTCTGTTGACTATAAACTGCTATTCAGTGTATGGGCTTATCATATTATCAGTTTCTGCCTTAAATCTACCCTCTTCATGTTTAACAGTTGTATTCTCTGCTTTTTGGAAACTGGTAGAAAAGTTGGCTGTGTTCATCGTGAACTCTAAAGACACCTTGCACGCCATTCCTTTCTGCTTCTACCTTTTTCGATCTAAAAGGCACCATCTTTAAGTCAGGCCTTGGCAGATGCTGTTATCTCTTCTTGGATGCCTTTCCCCACCCTCAGGCCTTGGCTAAAAGGTCGTTGCCCCTAGGAGGTCCTCCCTGAACCTCTCCCCTTGTTACTTTCTATTATGCACCGTATTTGCGTCTTGTATGTCATTAAACATGCATTTACTATGTGCCAGGCACTACTCTAAACAAAACCAAAATGGAAACACGAAGAAAATAGTTAGAAAAATAACTAGGGAGAAGGGATAGGATGTTAAGTGTCGCTATACGTTATCTACCTGCCATGTGTCTCCTTCTAAACTGTAAACTCTTTTGACTCTCACGTTTTATTCACCAGTGCCAAACTGGTGCTTAGCACGGCGCCTGCTGCGTCAGGCATTTGTAAATAACATAAATAGGGAGCAAAGAGCAAAGGAACATTTCCACCGCTGTGGCCCTGCCTCTAAGAGGCGAAAGAGAAAGCCCCAGAACGGAGGAAAGTTAACTCGCTTTCGGCGGCGTATGGGAAGAGCTTCAGTCCAGTCGTGGGATGTGGAGCGGGTGTGGTGGACCGGGCCACCCTCAGGCACAGGGGAGGGAGGATGGGGACTAAAGGTCCCGCAGCAGTGAAAAGTGGGCGGAAAGGAAAGGAAACTTTTCCAGGCACCCACTACGTGCCGGGCGCTAGCTCAGGCATTTCTATCCCCATTTTGACAAGGAGGGGTATAGGAGCTATGGCCAAGCTCCAGCTGCTCGTAATTAGTCAAGGAGGTTCTAATTCGGTTCTGAGGTCCTGGCGCTCTTCTCCTCCTGCCCCAGTCCCTTTACTACATCACCAGCACTCACCTACATTCCGGCAAGTCCCCTCACGTGAGGATGTACCAGATTCCCACCCCCGCCCAAAGGCGGGGAGCTCTTTTCAGGAACCACCTATGAGATAGTGAAAACGGCCTGTGGGGCGGGGCAAGACACGGATATTCCTGACTGTGATTGGTTGAAGTGGCTGCCGTTCACAAAATGAGTCTCGGCGTTCGCCCCCTGAGCTCCCGGCAGACCCTGCGCGGGGAAAGATGGCGGCGTCCAGGTGGAGGTCTTTAGGTGACCAGGGTATGGCGTTGGCGTCTGGGCCCGCAAAGCAGGCGCTTGCTGGTTCTGGGCGACTCGGCCTTGGAGGCTGCGGCGCTCCAAGACGTGGGGCCTACGAATGGGGCGTACGCTCCACGCGGAAGCCCCCGCCTCCTCCCCTGGACAGGGTGTACGAGATCCCTGGACTGGAGCCCATCACCTACGCGGGGAAGATGCACTTCATGCCGGGGCTCGCGCGGCCGGTCTTCCCGCCCTGGGATCCTGGCTGGACGCACCCAAAGTTCCGCCCCTCGATCCCTCTTCACGAGCATGCACTGTACAAGGACAAGGCTTGCTACATATTCCACGAGCGTTGCCGTCTAGTCGAGGGTGAGGACCCAGGACAGGCGGGAGGGGGCCTAGTTCCTCTGTGCAGCTCTGACCCCCGAACTTCTGTGGCTTTGGATGAAACATTGAAGCCCTGCGGGTTTTGGTTTCTTCATCTGAAATATGGAACCATAATGATTCCCATCTTCTGGAAGTTTTCAGGATTAATAGAGCTATGCTTATGTGATGGAATAATGAGTTTTACTGTTAAAGTGAAAAGACATGGTTTCTAAACCAAGCTCTGTCTATAACTCCATGACCTCAGGCAAGTGGCTGGTCTTCCTGAGCCTCCAGTTCCTGTGAAATGAATGGTGACGACTAGACAGTCCACACTGACCCCTCTAGCTCTGACATTCTGAAGATAACTGTACTTTTAAGAAATAGCTGGAGGGAGTTTCTAGTGGAAAGAAATCAGAAAGTGTTTAATCTCCAGGCCTGTGACCTCATTTCACAGAATTACTAATTGTAACAGAAAGGAAGTGATTTTCTCACAGGTGCACTGTAGATTAATGGTGAAGCCAGATCCCCAATTCCGCTTTCCTAGGTCAGTGTCCTTTGTCAAAAGTCAGAGGCAAAATGTTTTCAAGGAGAGAATCTGAACTTGAAAATCTTCTACCCATTTCAGCTCCTCTGTCACTTTCACTAAGAACAGATTTAAGGGCTGAAGATGTAGGTCAGAGGTTGAGCCCTTGCCTAGCATTCTGAATGTTCAGTCTCTAACACCACACAGAAACACCTAGAGTCCATTTGTGGGGTGAGGAGGTGACTGTTGGTTGAGAGTCCCTTTCTTCATTCCTAGTCTTCCCACTCAAATCAGTATAGGAATAGGACAGATCCTAAAAACAAAATGCTTGAGACAAGTGGGAGCAGTATTTTCCAAGAGGTAATTGGGAAAGAAAGAGCCCTGGCAGACATTGGGGCCTACATCAGTTTAAAAAAAAAAAAAATCCTTAGATTAGAGCAAGTCAATGGGCTCACCTCTTAAGCTGCCCCATCCTATTCCTGCAAGCTTATTTTCCAGCTATTAAACACTTCCAGTGTCCTTACAAAGTGCTATGAAGGGTATCACAAGACTTGGTACCCTTGAGTGACTCTGGTAATGAAACCCAGTGGATTAATGCATTAGCAGTACTTGAGAAGTTAAGATTATGCTCATCTGAGCCAGGCATGGTGGCACATGCGTGTAATCCCAGCTCCTTGGGAAACTGGGACAGGAAAATTACAAGTTCAAGACCAGTCTTGGCAATTTAGTGAGATCTTGTCTCAAAAAATAAAAAGGACTGGGGTGTAGCTCATGGTAAAGTGCTCCCAGGTTTCAGTCCCCAGTACTGGAAAAAAGAAAATAGCTCATTACAGAATATCAGGGTTAATTTAAACAAGATGTGAAAAGTTCTCTGCTTAAGTTATCCCAAATTCAGGGCTCCTTAAATTACTCATGAAAATCTAAAATTATTCTCATTTTTTCCAAAAGCTACTTTCCCTTGAAAGTCCACACTTTCCCTTGATAAGGTTGCATGGATTTATTCCTGGGGTCATACCTAATAAATAAGGTATGTTTGGTAGATATAGAATAAAATTATTTATTTTATTGACACCTGATATATGTGTCAGGGGTGGGGTATAAATTAACAGCAGGGATTTTTTTTTTTTTTAAACCAGAGATTGAACCCAGAAGTTCAACCACTGAACTACACACCCAGCCTTTTTATGTTTTATTTTAGGACAGGATCTCACTAAGTTGTGGAGGCTGGCCTCAAGCTTGAGTCCTCCTGCCTCAGTCTCCTGAGCCACTGAGATTATTATAGGCATGTGCCACCATGACCGGCAACAGAGGGGTCTTAAGTGAAGGGTTGGCATGTGTTAATGTAGTACCATAGCCTTGGATCTCACTGCTGCTAACGGGATTCAGCCATATGACATCAGCTTTCTAGCCACTGTTTGAATTTCTCCCATGGCAAGTACTCAGTACTTCAGTCAGCTGTTGACCATCTTGAAGTAGATGGTCATTCCAGATGTTGAGGTGAAATCTGGCTCCCCTAGCTTCTACTCTTCACTTTCAATTCTTTCCCCTCGAGTTTCCCAAGACAAATCCAGCCCTCTATTAAGGCAGCTTTTTCTCCATTATGCTGCCTAGCAGACATGATTAGCTCTTCCTGAACCCATTTCTCATTTCATTGTTTTGTGCTGATTACCCTAAAGGTGTGAAGCAGGCCCTCTGGCTGACCAAGAGCAAGTTAATAGAAGGACTTCCTGAGAAAGTGCTTAGGCTTGTGGACGATCCGAGGAACCACATAGAGAACCAAGATGAGCAGGTTCTAAACATCATCTCTCATGCCCGTCTCTGGCACTCCACTGAGGACATCCCCAAGAGAGAGACCTACTGGTATGTTTCCTTTGAGTAATTAAGATTTCCAAATGATGGATCATGGAGCCAACCTGTTGTTTTAAGTCTACAAATGTCTCTTCTTTTCTCCAAGCCCAGTCATTGTGGACAGTCTGATACAGCTGTGTAAATCCCAGATTCTCAAGCATCCTTCTCTGGCCAGGCGGATCCTTGCCAGAAACTACTCATTATCTGCCACCTGGAATCGAGGTTGGTCATCTTGTACACTAGAAAATTCTGGGCTGTTTTTATCTTTCTATCCTCAGTCCCACCATTAGTTTATCCCTCCCATTCCCACCCCACCCTACCCAAATACCTATCCTCACTCTCTTCATGGCCCAGGTTTGTAGGCTCAGACACATATTTAGTATTGTTAGGTATGACCTCACCACCTTTTTGTTTTGTTTTGTTTTTAGTACTGGAGATTGAACCCAGGGGTGCTCAATCACTGAGCCATGTCCCCAGTCCTTTTTTTAAAAAAAAATTTTATTCTTTAGTTGTAGTTGGACACAATACCTTCATTTTATTCATCTATTATGTGGTGCTTAGGATCGGACTCAGGGTCTTGCACATGTGAGGCGAGCACTCCACTGCTGAGCCACAACCCCAGCCCCCCCAGTCCTTTTTTTATATTTAATTTAGAGACAGAGTCTCTCTGAGTTGCTAAATGCCTTGTTAATCTGCTGAGGCTGGCTTTGAACTCGTGATCCTTCTGCCTCAGTCTCCTGAGTTGCTGGGATTACAGGTATGTGCCACCATGCCTGGTGACCTTTTTGTTTTTAATCACTCCTGTCTAAGACCATTAATAGCCAACCATTATCTGTTAAGTGCCCACACTGTGCTTGGGAGTGCCTAAAAGCTAAAGATGAGCAGATAAAGCACATTGAGTCTGTCCTCACCACACTCACGTTCTATTGAAACAGCCTTACACCTTTCATACTTCTCTACTTTTCCAAATCTGGGTTCAACATAGCTGCTGGAGTGATCTTTCTACAGTAAAACTCCCCCACACTTCCTGGAGTTGGACCCAGGAGTGCTCTACCACTGAACTACATCCCCAGCCTTTTCTAATTATTATTTGGAGACAGAGTCTTGCTAAGTTATGGAGGCTGGACTTGAACTTGGAATCCTCCTGCCTAAGCCTCCTGAGCAGCTGGGATTATAGGTGTGCACAACTGTATCCGGTCAGTACAACTCTTTTTATGTCTCTCCCGTATTTCAAATCCTGCCTCCCAGTAGCTTGAACTCTTTATTGTGATATTCAAGGCCCTCTATGCTTTGACCTTCACCTAGTCTTTCTAAATCTTATCTCTCCACTACTATTCTGTCCCTGTACCCCCATCCCTGAATTAGCCACTTGCAGCTCTTTAGTGTCAAGTGTTCCCACCTTGGAGCCCTTGAATTGCTATACATCTGTCTGGAATGCTCTTTTCTACTTTCCTCATGTATCCATATTCTATCTGTAAGGCTCAGCCCAGGCCTCCTCTTTGTGAGTCCAGGCTGGTCTAGCTGTCCCTCCTCGGTGCTCCTTGTGCCATCATAGCACTTACTACATTATGTTGCAGCTATCAAACAGATATCAACTCTCAGGTGTTTGACGCAGGTATGTCAGAGGACACAGGTGTTCTAAATGGTGGGATCCTGGAGCAGGGAAACCAGCTAGGGAATAATTTGGCACTTTAGGACATCTGTTTGGTCAGGTTTCTCCAGCTTGCCCCTTTGCATATGGACTTCCTGGCAGGGAATCAACCTTGCAGAGGTAATGGCACCACTAAGGAAATTAGTGAGCCTCATTAATAGAGGAGTACTTGTTGGCCCATCATCAAGTATTACCTCTAATTAAACTGCCCCATTTGGAGCTGTCACTGGAGGAGGGATGTGGAGGGAATTGAATTAGAAACCACACTAGAGTGGTCTGTGGGGAGAATCTAAAACCCCGGGTTAGGAGAGGTCCAGGCACATTTATGTTCCTTGCAGATTATATGTGAGGAAACAGGAAATGTTTTAGGAAACTAATCTTGAGGTGTGATTATGATATACTTTAACAAACTGATCAGAGTTTATGCATCCACAGATGTAGTATCCATTTTTTACATACCCAGTAAGGAAGGCCACATATTCATTAAATGGCAGTGCTTTTGACCAAACAGATTTTTAGAAAACAAGTCTTTTTTTTTTTTTTTTTTGGTACTGGGGTTTGAACCCAGTGTTGCTTACCACTGAGCCACAGCCCTTTTTTTTTTGAGACAGGCTCTTGCTAAGTCCTTAGGACCTCACTAAATTGCTGAGGCTGGTCTTAAACTTGTGATCCTCCTTCCTTAGCCTCCTGAGTTGCTAGGATTATAGGAGTGCTCCACAGCACTGAGCAGAAAATCAGCTTTGATACATTATCTATATACTGTACTTTGACTATTTCTGAAGTCCAAGCACCTGCAGAAGTAGGTGTGCCTCCATGAAGTCCCCTCAGTTTCCCATGCTCAAGGAGCCTTTCCATGTGCACTTCTTCTGGTGGTGGCATGTGGTTGCTTGTGGGGACTACTATGAACTGCATCTGCACATGTTTATGCAGATCGCTGGTCAATCTAATGTAGATCACCTGTGTTCCTCCCAGCAGATATGTAAGTCTGCCTTATGCAATTCTCTGATTGGCCTAGTGTTTCACTCTCAGTTGTTGGGGTCAACTGGCCCTGTTCTTGGGTTGATCAGTCATTTCATCTCTGGTCTCATTGCTTCTCACCCTTCATCCCTCTTCCTTACCATATTATACTTTAGTCATTGGATGTGTTTCTCTGTGGATTCACACTTCTATGACCTTGCACATGTTAGTCCTCCTTAACTGGACGATTTTCTCACACATTTTGCTTGGTAGTCTCCAACCCAGTGGTTTTCAGCTGAAGACAGTTTTGCCCTCTAGGGAACATTTGGCAATGTCTGGAGACATTTTTGATTGTGATGACTTGAGTGGGTGGGGATAGGATGGGAAGGGACTTCTAGTGTGTAGAGAAAGGGCTGCTTCTCCAATGCTCAGGACAGCCCTCTCACCAAAGAATAATCTGGTCCAAATGAGTATTGTGCTAAAATTGAGAAGTCCCATTATTATCCATACTTTAGATGCCTAGTTTTTTTTTTTTTTTTTTTTTTTTAAAGAGAGAGAGAGAGAGAATTTTAATATTTATTTTTTAGTTTTTGGCAGACACAACATCTTTGTTTGTACGTGGTGCTGAGGATCGAACCCGGGCTGCACGCACGCCAGGCAAGCGCGCTACCGCTTGAGCCACATCCCCAGCCCTAGATGCCTAGTTTTTAAAAAAAATTTTAATTTGTTTTAATTAGTTATACATGACAGTAGAATATACTTCGATACATCATATATAATGGAGTATAATTTCTCATTCTAATAGTTATACATGATGTGGGATAACACTGGTCATATAGTTATATATGTACATAGAGTAATAATATCTGATTCATTCTACTATCCTTCCTACCCTCATTCCCCCTCTACCTAACCTAAAGTAACTCTGTTCTTCCCTAGCCTCATCCCACATTGTGAATTAGCATCCACATTATCAGAGAAAACATTCAGCTTTTGATTTGGGGGGATTGACTTATTTTGCTTAGCATGATATTCTCCAGCTACATCCATTTACCAGCAAATGCCATAATTTCATTCTTCTTTAAGCTTGAGTAATATTCCATCATATGTATGTATATATATATATATATGTGTGTGTGTATGTATATATATGTGTGTGTGTGTGTGTGTGTATATATGACGTGTATATATGCCACATTTTTTTTAATCCATTCATCTGTTGAAGGGCACCTAGGTTGGTTCCATAGTTTAGCTATTGTGAACTGAGCTGCTATAAATATTGATGTGGCTGCATCACTATAATGTGCTAATTTTAAGTCCTTTGGGTATAAACTGAGAAGTGAGATAGCTAGGTCAAATGGTGGTTCCATTCCAAGTTTTCTGAGGAATCTTCATACTACTTTCCATAATGGTTGCACCAGTTTGCATTCCCACCAGCAATGTATGAGTATACCTTTTTCCCCACCTTCTCACCAACATTTACTGTTGTTTCTATTCTTGATAATTGCCATTCTGACTGGAGTGAGATGAAATTTTAGAGTAGTTTTGATTTGCATTTCTCTAATTGCTAAAGATGTTGAGCATTTTTTCATATATTTGTTGATCAGTTGTATTTCTTCTGTGAAGTGTCTATTAAGTTCCTTGGCCCATTTATTGATTAAGGCATTATTTTTCTAAGATGCTCTCCAGACCTCCCAGAGAAGTCACTTTCCCCTTCTGGGTTGTATCTGAGTCTGGTTCATACTTTTTGCTACAGCACTTCCTGTCTGGTGAGCTCCTTGAGCAGAGAGAGTATTTGTTTTTTCTTTTTGTTTGTTTGTTTGTTTTAAGAGAGAGATTTTTTTTTAAAGAGAGAGAGAGAGATAGAGAGAGAATTTTAATATTTATTTTTTAGTTTTCGGCGGACACAACATCTTTGTTTGTATGTGGTGCTGAGGATTGAACCCAGGCCACACGCATGCCAGGCGAGCGCCCTACCGCTTGAGCCACATCCCCAGCCCCAGAGAGAGTATTTGTAAGCTGAGTTCCCAGCTTAGAGTTGGTGCTCAAGAAGATCTGTGTAGGGGCTAGGGCTATAGCTCAGTTGGTAAAGTGCTTGCTTAGCATACACAAGGCCCTGGGTTCAATCCCCAGCACCATGCCCACCCCCCACCCCCCCAAAAAAAAAGATCTGTGTGACATGCACTGGACCCCCAGGACCACCAGGTCTCTGGATCTATCAAGAAAGGAACACAGGAAGAAGAGTGCACTAGCTCATCTCTCTCTTGAGGACCCCAGGACTAACACCTTAATCCCAGGTTTTGTGTTTTGTGATTAGCCTATAGTGGACTTGAGATGCACAGGAAATAAAGGCTTTAGACTTTGCTGAGTGGATAAAAGTCTTTATACTAGTTTGGACTGAATATCTTTTTCTTCTTTTAGAATCTGTTCTCCTTCAGGTCCGTGGTACTAGTGGCACCCGACTGAGTGTAAAGGATCCTCTGCCCCCCATTGCCTCCAGAGAGGAGATTGAAGCTACCAAGAATCATGTTCTTGAGACCTTCTATCCTATATCTCCCACTATTGATCTCCAGGAATGCAACGTTTATAAAGTGAAAGATGATACAGGTGAGAAGCAAAGCCTTTGAGTTGTAGGCAATGCAAAGGTGAGAGATACGCTTTCTCCAAAGGAAAAGGATGTACTAAGAACTCATGTACATTTATCTCCTAGGATCCATGTAGCAGCCCATGCAGCAGGTACTGTTATTCCCATTTCATAGGCAAGGAAACTGTGGCCCAAGGAGGTTAAGTGATTTGTTTCAAGGCTGACTTTTCATTTTATCCCAAATAGTAACTTCTGACATCAGAGTGTTAATGGGTGGCTTCAGTGTTTTTTGTTGTTGCTCACCATACCTTGCTTAAGGGGCTTTTGACCAGACTTTTCCTTTATTCATGGATCCTTTTAAAGGCACCCTCTTTCTGCTCATCCTGTAGACTGCTAGTACCTTCAGCCTTCCTCCATGGGCCTTTAATGCAGCTATTTATCCAAATTCCATTCCACAAGGCATCAACTCAGACTCTGTCAGCCCCATCGGAAACTCGGCAGTCAGACTCAGCTTATGCCCAGAATGCCTTGCACTCTGCTCTCATAACTGGTCATTGTGACCCCAGGCTATTTTCTCACCATCTGTCTAGCTGATAGTTCTGGAGGAGACTTTCCTGAAACCCCTGTTTAGTCTCATCTCCCTTCATGCCGTCTCCCCACTGCCTCTGTAGAGTAGGTTCTCCTAGCTTTCTCCTGTGAGGGCCTTCACATTTGCTTCCTGCTGCCCTCCCTATTGTCACCCCCAACCCCCACTGTCCCTTCATTGCACCTGGACCTCATACATCATGCCCTGCTCACCACTGGGCTTTCTAATTCCTCTTCCCTCCACAGGAATATTGACCATTTGTCTGCAGCTCACAATTTGTCTTAGGAATCATTTCCTCCCAGAGATCTCTGTCTCATCAGGGACCTTTCATCTCTCCTCCCTCATCCCTGAATCACTGTGGATTTTGACGTCCCTCCATGTGGACATGATTGGTTTTCCTGTATGTCTCCCCTTTAGACTGAGTTCCTCAAAGGCATTGGCAGGCTCTGTTTGGGCTCTGCTCCTGATTCATATCTTAGCACCTAGCATCACACATGTGCTGGGCACTTCCATGTGCAGGAAAGCCACTTCCCTCTGTTAGTGCTCTCCTCAGAGATTTTCAGAGCATTTTCCAGCCTGTTTCTCCCTCTTTTTCACCCATATTCACTGACTCAGATCACTTATTGTAGAAGCTTCCAGCCTTCCAAGGGTTTATTCATAGCTTTACAGGAGAACAGGATTCTTAACTTGACAGATTGTGGCTAAGATGAGCAAAAGCTGAATTTTGACCAGTTGTGAAATGAGACAAGTCATTTTCACTAATATGAAAGTAACAGATAACATAAAGCTACTGAATAATAGTAAAATGCTGAACTCTCCAATGATTTGCTTTGTTTTTAATAATTGCCAACAGCTTTCAGGTTAGTTCTCTCCTTGGACATCACTGTCATCTGTGGGCTTGAAGAAGAGAAAAAGGGTAGAGTCAGAACAACACACAAGAAGCACCTGGAACAGATTGGCAGGCGGTTTCCATGAAGAGCCAGATGATAGTAAACATTTTAGATTTTGCAACCCACATATGGTCTCAGTGTAACTACCCAGTAGACATGCGTAAATGAGTGTGGTTGCAGCCCAGTAGAAAAGTTATTTATGGGAAGCAGGCAGGCTGTTTGTGACCACCTCTGAGCTGGTCTGTGCCTCCAGTGTCTTGGTCATGCCTGCCCTTGAGCCAAGGAGGTAGCTCTTCTAAGGCTCTGGCAGGCTGGCTAATCTTTTCCACCCCTCCATGTGATTACATATCTTGCAGGATTCCGGGAGGGATATCCTTACTGCTTTCCCCACACCCTGTATCTCCTGGAGACGGCCAAGTTACAACCACACCGCTTTCATCCAGATAAGCTGCGGGCCAAGATGATTCTGTTTGCTTTTGGCAATGCCCTGGCTCAGGCCCGGCGCCTCTATGGGGTATGTATGTGGAGAAGACCACTGAAGTGCTTTATGTGGTGTCATGTCCCTCTCTCTCTTAAGGACATTGTTCAAAGGAAGAAGTCAATGTGGGAACTCCTTGCTTGACTGAGAATCTTAGGGAGAAGCACTTCCACTCACCCTGTGGGGACAAACTGACCTCCACTGGGGACCAGCTGGGGGTTTGCACTTTACCCAGAGACAGTAGCCCATGAGGTTTCATTGAGATCCCTGTTTTCCAGAGTATTCCACAGGAACACAGGAGCTAGCTAGCTTGTCCAGTAAGTGTAGAGTAGAACGAAGTGCTCCCAGCTCTGAAGCCTTCAGTTCTCTGTGCTCCAGCACACTGCCCTGCTCTGCAGCGTTAGAACTGAAGCTGGATCTCCACCAGGCAGGCAGAAGGAAGCAAGGCAGTGAGATGGCCCAGACCTGCTTGCCAGCTCACAGTGGATTCTAGGGACCCAAGATCCCACTTGGTGGCAATCCCTTGATCCTAAGAGGAGGTCCCAGGGACCTAAATGGTATGGAATGGGGGGTGAGAGGTTGAGTTGTCCCAAGATAAGGGGCCCCAGAGCAAACGCCTCCAGGGAGAAGAGAGCCACATGAAAGCGTAAGCAAGCCTGAGACACCAGGTCCCTGGTTTTGTGTATGTGCAGAAGAGGGATTCTGAGAGATGCTGCTGGGCTCCCAGGTCTTGGTTAGAGCCTGAGGTTAAAGGAGTGAAGAAATTCTGTAATTTCTTGTCCTGCTTGGTCTAGGCGCTAGGCAGGATTGTGGAAGCGTGACTAGATACATGAATTGGGAGTGGGCTGCATTGTGCCTGTATTGCGCACCTGCTACATTTTAGGCATTTATTAGGGCTCTTGTATTGGTTCTGAAAATACAGCCTAGATGAGCAGCAGAAGTCCCATCAGTGAGCTTGTTGGAAATGCATATTCCCAGACTGATACCAATGGAATCGGAAGCCCTGGTGTTGGGGCCAGCTGTCAGCATTGAACACACCTCCCAGGTGATTAAAGCCAGTACAAGCTTGAGTTTGAAAACCCTGCATGAAATTTTGAGGACCACTGCCAAGTTCACTCCTTATAGCAACCCCATTTGGCACAGGCTGTTAGTTTCACTTGACAAGTGACACTGAGGCTCAGGGAGGCTAAGTAACTTGCCCAAGGTCACCCAGATGAGAGATAAGCAAGTGAGCCAAGATGTAGCTCAGTGGTAGAGTACCTGCTTAGTGTGCACAAGGCCGTGGTTTCAATGTCCAACACCACAAAAAGCAAAAAAGAAAGAGAAGCTATTGTCACATCTTTATGTAACCTGTGTCTCTCCAGTCCTAGAAAGGCTAGCTTTACTCCCATTCTGACTGTATGCAGCGCGAAGGCTATGGAAAGTTAGGTAATTGTCTAAGATCCCACAGCTGATGACTAAAGAAGCAAGGACTGGATCCATAATCCCTCCACCTTTGAAGGATGGAAGGAGGCGGTCACATGCCGTGTCCTAGGCCTGCCAGCTCATGGTAGCAGCTGTGCCAGCTTTTGCCAGCAGTGCCTGGGTAGCAATGCTGCCACTAATTGCCACCCAGTTGGGCAGGAGGGGGGCCTCCCCCAACCCTTCCAGGTACAAATTATTCCTGAGGAAGTGAAGTTGAACAATTATGGGAAGATTCTCCAGGTAAAAGGTAAAATTGCTGAGAAATTTATGTAACTACCTACAGTTTTATTCATCTGTAGAGAGATAAGAGTACAGAATTCTCAGCTAATGCTTATAGATACTTTTTTTTTTTTTTAATGCAGCTCAGAACAGGTAATTTCTAAAGCTAACAACCCCAGTGTGGCCCACACTGAGGTCTGCCATTAGCTATTCCTAATGTCAGACCAACCCTGATGGGTGAATGTCAGCAGAATTTTTGAATCAGGATGTCCTGCTTTGTGGAGCCTGCTCATTGGATCTTTGTCCGGCAAGTAGCAATCACCAAACTGGATTGCTGCAGTATCCACAGGTTGACTATACGATGTGTCATTCAAACAGGGACACTACTGAGAACAAAAGAGGTGCTATTGTCATATACACTGGGACACCAGGTGTAAACCAAAATAATAAATTTTTATATGACTTAACAGCCTGGGGTTTGATCCTGGCTCATACCTCATGAGTGACCTGGAACAAATTATACCAGTGTTCTCATCTCTTAAGTGGGACTGTACTTCTAGATTTATGAGCATGGAGGTGATTTTATAAAAAACTGGCAAGATGTCTGGCACCCAGGAGGCCTTCAGTAAGTGGTTTTAGTATTACTATGATTACCAAGTGGTGCCCACTGAAAAGGATCATCAGAGAATGAATTGACTGGTAAAGTCCTGGTGCGACAGAGCTGAAGTTGCAGTGACAGTGGGAAGCCAAGGTGACTGCTGGAACAGACGGTCCAGGATGCCAGGCCCTCGGGATCAAGGCAGGAGTGAACAGTGTGCATGGTGTCACATGAGCCACTTTGGGTTCTGGTGCCACCCTCTTTGTGACTTGATGTCAGACAAGTCAGTTTACCCTGTTGAATCTGTTTTCTTCTCTTTCAGATGGTGTGAGAACCAAATGACATCATATTTATTCACTCCTCCTCCAGGTTAAGGTTTGACAGCTGATTTCACTGTTAGCCCCATCAGGCAATGCCATGAGTTTGAGGGATTCCTCCCAGCTCACTTGCCTGAGCTTTGTGACTTGCCAAGTAATTGCCTCTCAGTGGTGGGAGCTATTAGTTCAGTATGCTCAAGTTGAAGCACCAGACTCCCTGGGACATGAACCACGGGGGCCAGGCAGAGCCAGGAGAGGTGAGGGAAGGCCTGGCTCTGGACGGTGCCCTGAATTCCATTCTATTTTATTTTGGTTTTTTAGTACTAGGTATTGAACACAGGGGCACTCAACCACTGAGCCACATCCCCAGCCCAATTTTGTATTAGGGGACAGGGTCTCACTGAGTTGCTTAGTGCCTCGCCATTGTTGAGGCTGGCTTAGAATTCGTGATCCTCCTGCCTCAGCCTCCCGAACTGCTGGGATTATAGGCGTGCGCCACTGCACCTGGCTCCATTCTATTTTAATTGCCCCAAGATGAAGCCATTAAATAGGAGGAGGTGGGTGTTCTGAAGGGCAGTGCTAGAAGCTGCTTGGTCTATGGTGTGCCTACATGTTACTTTCCTGGAGAGTCCACTCCAGCTGCGTCACTCCAGGATTTCACCAGTCAATGCACTTGCTGATGATCTTTTGATTGGCGTCTCTTGGTGATCACACTTCTACTAAAACCACTTTCTTCAGTGGCCTCGTGAGTGCCAGGATCTTTCCAGTTTTCATAAGCTCACCTCTACTCTCATGAATCTAGAGGTAGATTTGATTTGCCTCCTTTTCCTCTCAGAACAACAGCAAGGTCTTGGAGCATCCGATAGTTGTGCAGAGCGTGGGCACAGATGGACGTGTCTTCCAGTTCCTGGTGTTTCAGTTGAATACCACAGATCTGGTCTCTAACGAGGGGGTCAAGAATCTGGCCTGGGTGGATTCAGACCAGTTCCTCTATCAACACTTCTGGTGTCGCCCGGTAATCAAAAAGAAAGTAGTGGTGGTAAGTGTAGCCGTCTCCTGCTTAGTGATTGAAACTGGGCTGGGAGGAGGGCCCTGGCTCTAGGGACTGTGCACCCAGAATGTCTGACTGCCCCTCTCTTCAGCTCCTGTTTCCCTCTGAACCCACCTCCAGTCTCACCCAACTCCTTACAGCACCCAACGGGCCTGGGGCCTTGGATGCTGCTCCTTCTGTATAGGAGGCTTCTCCCTCCCTCCTCCCTCTCCCCTCCCCATTTCTCTCATCTGGTCATCCTTCACTTGTCCTTCTAGGTTTAGTGTGTTTCTTACATGGGAAACCTTCCCTTATCACCACTGTCCTTAACCCCTGCCTCACTTCAGTGCTTCAGTGCCCCAGAGTACCTATCTGTTCCCATGTTTTTCTCCTCCACTAAACCAAGCTCCACACTTCTGGAGGGCAGGGCCTGTGGGCAACGTACTATTTGTTTCATTCCACTGACACACAGTTCCTCCCGTGGCACTGTTGCTGCTGCACCCAGGGATCAGCTGACAGAGTTCAGGCCTGCTCCCTGCAGTGGGCAGCAGTGATGTTTTAAGTCAGTTCACACTAAAACACCAAGCAGTAGAAAGTGCTCTAAAGAGACAGCAGGATCAAGGGATGAGAGCAGAGCAGGGTGCTGTTAGGTCTGTGACAACTGGTTCCTACCCAGGGCTTGCTGACAGATTGCCTTCTGTGACTGACTCCCAGCATGTCCACATTTCTGCCCTTGAAATGTCTTCTGGATCTGGGCCCTTCTCTTTGGCTCCAGACCCCCTCTTCTCACCTGCACAGTCACAGTAGCTACCTCCCATCTCTCTGTTCTTAGTCAATCTCTTTTGTGGCTCAGGTCCTCTTCCTTCAATCTCTTCCTTCCAGAACAGACTCAGTACTTCCTTCTAGTACTAGGCCCCTTGTCTTGGTGAGCCAGCTCCCACCACTTTACCCATCACCAGAAGCCTGGGCCTCAGCCTCACCCTGGCCCTTCCCGCCCTCATCTTGTACTCTGCTCTTCTATGTGCTGTTCTCTTTGAAGCCTCCTTCCTCTCCTTTTTATTTCTGGCCCATTCTACTTGTCCTTCTCTGCGTGGAAGTTGGTGAGTTAAGTCATTTCCCCTGCTTTCTTAGTACCTTTTTTCTTCTTCTGCAGTGAGATCTGTCACCTTTTATTAGTACTCCTTGAGGACAGGCACCACATTTACTTAACTGCTGGGTCTCTAGCCCTGGACACAACCTGATACAGTGAGAGCAGGTGCTTGATAAATGGATATGGAATGAGTGAGGGATTGTTGTCCCCGGATGAAAGGAGGCAGCAGACTGTTCCTGGTGGTTGAGGTGAGAGGAGTTAGTTAGGGAGCAAGCAGGGCAGTGTCAACAGAAGCTTCCTGACCTTCTCAATTTCACACCCTCAAGCATCTCTTACATTGCCAGCTCAGTGCCCCTTAGACCTGTTGAGAAGCAGTAGGGGAAGAAACAGCGATGACCCAGGTGCTCAAGATTTACAGAAGATGGACCTTTGTTTAATTGCTGCCTTTAAATCTAGTAGCAGGATCCTAATGGGCTGTGTTCTTTCCAGGAACCTGTTGGACCAACTAGTTTCCAGCCAGAGACATTCAGAAAGTTTTTGGCTCTGTATTTGCATGGAGCTGTGTGAGCCAAGGAGGTTCTGAGGCCTGAGTGCCCCTACCCCTTCCCTCTGAGGAGTCTGCATCCTGGGTGAAGCCAGGGCCTCTGCCCGTGTTCAGCCTGATGGTCTCACTGGCAATAAAGAGCCCTGAATCATACTGGAGCCTGTGTTGGTGTGATGGTGCTGTCAGCGGGCACAGCAGCCCCATGTCGTCATGCTACACAGGTGTGGGCTCTAGAGCCTGGCCAGCCTCAGCCTCCACCTCAACCAGCTCTGCCCCAGACTCAGGCTATGATGAGCATCTTCGTTTCAGTTTCTTCATCTGAAATCCAGGGCTAGTAGGACCTTCCTTGTTTTGAAAACAATGTGTCTGTCTTATTGGCCTCATGGCAGATGCTCTGCTATGGGTGCTGGGTTCTTACAGAATGATTTACCTTGCACACACATTCCACAGTGACTACAGAAAAGCCTAATAGCGTATTTGCCGGGTTTCATTTGCTACTAAATCACTCAGGGGTCACTCCACTTGAATTGGGCTGACCGGGCTGCACGAAATAACCACACAAGAGACACAAATACCTTTTTCTTTGGGGTCCCTGTGACGGTTCCTCAGACCTTATGGGTCTGCAGGAAGAGAGTGAGAGAGCACCCACTGACCCATTTTATTGAGGAGAAGCTATTCAAATGAGGCAAGGGGTCAGGTTTCAGAGGGCTGAGTCTATCTTCATGATGTCTGTTGTCAGCGGGTTGACTGACATCTAGGTAGGCCATACCCAAGGGCACAGTAAGAGAAAGGGACACACACAAGGCACTTCCATGGAAGATTCTATCCTAAACAGGGCAAGGGGTTATATTACAAAGGAACAGGTGAGCATAGCTCCACCCATGGGGCTATAGCAAGACACCCCCATGCACGAGATACCACCCATCGAACCCAAGAAGGGTGGGGAAAGTCTAGGAGAATGCTGCCTGACGCTTCATCACCCATCTGGGGAGTGTGACTCAGTCACAAGCAAGGTTGGTCTCCCACACGTGTTCATTGTGGATTTCCCACTAGTTTCTTGGATGATGGGCCACACAATCCTGGGTCACCAGGCCTCTGTTGTTCAAGTCCTCTCCTGTGTCAGACAGTGCCACATACCAGACACCGTGTATTGCTGCACCTTGTCCGTCCTCACACAGCTCTGCTGGGCAATTACTCTAGAAATGTCATTTCCAGAGTCAGGAGAAATGCTGAGTGCCTAGTGTGTGAGACGCTGTTCTCTGCCCTGAAGATGAAGAAACATAATGTAAGGACTGCCCAAGGCCCCACAGCTGGTGTTTTCAGTCTACTTCCCTAGGAAACCCCTGGAGAGGAGTTTTGGGAGCCACTTCAGGCCCAGCACCTTGAGGCCTCTGGGCAGCAGCACTAGGGAGAAAGGACTGAGCTAGTGTGTTGCCACATGAGGTCATTGCCAGGCACACAGACACCTTGGGGCCAGAGTTGACCCCTCTGATGCAAGAGGTTGAGTCTACAGACACCACAGGCCTGTTGCTGATTGTTGGATAACTGTTCCCCACCTCTGTGGGAATGGCCTCAGGAGAGGGCTGTGCTGGACTGAGCCACTGGGGCAGGCTGCCCTGGCTGGAGGGGCTCTGGAGAGACCTGGGAGCCTGAGTTCTACAGCTAGAGAATGACAAAGCCATCTCCAACCCATGTCCAACTCCTATGCTGTACACTTTCCACTTCACGTACAAATTTATTTTTTTAAGAGGGGGTCTCAGCGGCTGCAGTAGTGCACACCTGTAACCCTAACTCTGGTGGCTGAGGCAGGAACAACGCAAGTTTGAGGCCAGCGTCAGCAACTTAGTGAGACCCTGTCTCAATATAAAAAAATAGAGCTGTGGATGTAGCTCAGTGGTAAGGCACCTCTGGGCTCAATTCCAGTGCCAGAAACAAAGGAGGGGGTCTTACTGTGTCACCCAGGCTGATCTCAAATTCCTGGGCTCAAGCAATCCTGAGCAGTTGAGACTACAGAAAGAAGAGCGTCACTGCACCGGCTCTTCCCACTTTATAGCTTATCTCAGGTGACCCGTGGGGTGGGGTGGAGGCAGCCTTTGGGAGTCCCAGGAAGAGCAAGGGGTGTGAAGCCGGTGAGTGTGAGGCTGGGGTGAGCAGCACATAGAGGACCCGGAACATCAAGCACTGCAGTTCCCATAGGAGCTGATGTGGCCCAGGGGAGTCGGTGAGTCCTGTTGCCATTTTAGCGGATGAAACAAGTGACATGTAAACGGTGAGAACTCAGGGAGTTCAGAAAGGTCCAAAAGTTGGCACCCCCAGTTCTTTTCCCAAAGGATACCCATGACTCAGTTTCTCATGTGCGACTTATTAGAACGTGTCTTAAGCGCATCTGTGCTTGTTACTTGATGTCATCCCAGTCCGACTTTTTTTGGTTTTGTTTTTGTTTTTTTTGGTGGTACTGGGAATCAAACCCAAGGGTGCTCTACCACTGAGCCACATCCCCAGCCCTTTCAATTTTAAGACAGGATCTCACTAAGTGGCTGTGGGTGACCTTGAACTTGCAATGCTCCTGCCTCAGCCTCCCTAGTAGCTGGGACCTCAGGGGGGCACCACCTCGCCGGCTGTGTTGATGAGCCCTTCTCCACCCCAGTCCGGGGATCGCAGGGTCTCACGGCGTCAGCACATACATTCATACCTGTTCTTTCGAGTGCTGCCTTCATGTCTACTGATGTCGGTCGGGTTATTTCCAGTTAGTAATTATTGCAAATAATGCTGCAGCGTACGTTGTTATGCGTCTTAGAGTACTTTTGCCAGCATAGCCATTGGGTAAATTCCTAGCCACCAGATTGCTGAGTCATGGAACTTTTTAAAGAACACTGGTGGGAATGCAGAGGATGAATTGGCAGGACAACAGTGCGGAGTCCAGCTGGAGGCCGGTGTGGTCCTTCCAAGCAGGCTAAGTCCCTTATGAACAAGGAGTGAAAGGGTGAAGTGAACTGGGGCCCCAGGCCAGTGGGATGGAGGCTGATGAGCACAGTCCTAAGAACCTGCAGCTTGAGGAGTGTCCTGGGTGGGGCTGGTGTTGCAGGGCAGCCAGGGGCTCATAGACATCCCAACGCCACAAACTGGGACGGCCCTGCCTGCCGTCCTGGGTGGTAAATTGGGCCTGGAGACCATTATACTCAGCGCAAAGTGATCTGCGCAGTGAGGCAGGAGTAGCAGCCGTTGTTATTCTCCCTGTGTAGATGGGGAAATGGGCCCAGAACCCACATGATGTAGTGTATGTTAGTTGGGTTTTCATTGCTGTGACCAAAATGCCCAGCAAGAACAACTTGGAGGAGAAGTTTATTTGGGCTCAGATTCAGAGGTTCAGTCCATGGTTGGCTAACTCCATTGCTCTGAGCCTGAGGTGAGCGGAATATCGTGGCAGAAGGGCACAGCAGGGGACAGCTGCTCCTCTCCTGGCAGATGGGAAACAGAGCAGGCAGGATACAACGCGAGCCACACAAGTACACTCTCAGGGACCCAGCTTCCTCCAACACCTCGCCTGCTTACAGTCACCACTCCACAGTAGTCCTTCCAAATTATTAACCCATCAAAGGGATTAATCCACTTATTAGGTTTAGCTCTTTAATCACCTCACCTCTGAACAGAGGGACACCTCATGTCCAAACACAACATAGTGGGAAGAGCTGGAACGTCCATATGTGGTGACACCTGCTCCCATCACTCCAAGATGCACCCCTGAGGCCCACCTTCCTTAACCCACCACCTTGCTTTCCTGAGGAAATGCAGTTAAGGTCTGTCTGGATGAAAACCTGAGAACAAGGCGTCCAGCCAGCCAGCCTGCTACAAGAAGGAGCAGGAGCACTGTGGGGAGGGGGAGGGGAGGGGCGCAGGGTCACCTGGTACGGAAATCTCACTATAGGGACTTGTAAGCAACACACTTTTGGAACCAAAATGTTTCCCATTGTAAACTTGTACCTGAACACATTTCTCATTGTGTTATAGATTAAAGTGTCTGGTTGATTCATTGTTCATTTCCTAGATTTCAGGGCAAGAGAATTATAAATTTGGCCTAAAAGAAGCCATTCCCTTGAAACTCATATATCTAGCTGCCCTCAGATCTCAACTCCTCCTTTACAAAATGGGGATAAAGCCTCTCCATTTCTGATTTTCCCCACCTTCAGATCAAAGGTTGCACTTGACCCAACAAGTCTTAAGTAGCTGGATTTGGAGTTTTCAGAAACCTCGTGAAAAGGGCTCATGTGGTGGCCTCCCTTTAGCCTGCTCTGTCTTCTCCCAACGCCAGCTCAGGATGGACCTGTAACTGGATCTTCAGGGCCCTGTCCCTCACTTGCTGCAGGCCCACAGCTGGAAAGGAGCTGGGCAGGGTCATCTCAGGCATTTTAGCATCTCCCTGTTTTCTCTCTGAGCAAATGAAAGTCCCAGGAAGCATGCATGTGACCTGAGTGTCTCAGATGATGTGACTGCTGGAAGACCACTCTGGTGCAGGCACCCTCCTGATAGGTCTGGAAACCAGTCAATCCTAGCGCCTGCTCCTCATCTCAGGACAAATTCTCAGTCAGTACTCCTGAGTTTTCACTGAGCATCTAGTATGTGTCAGACTCCATTCAAGGCCTTGCGTACAGAGCAGTGAACCAGATGTCCCCGCGCTTGTGGCATTTACTTTCTAATGTGGAGAGAGACTGTGAGTGAAGAAATACATGACAGAGGGATAGGAAGAAAAGTGAAGCAGGTGTCATCGGTGGGTTCCCTGAAAATGGGCTGAGTGTGAGGGAGAGCCACAAGGGGCATTATTTTGGAGTGCTCTCCAGAGACACCTGCAAGGAGGTCCGGAGGGCACAACCGAGTGGAATGAGAAGCCGAGGCCTCAGCTGATCTTGCAGAGAACTCTGGAACTAGGATAGCTCTTCAGGGCTGCCCCAAATTGAGGCAAGTTGGCAGGACCTTGAAGCACACCAGCCACTGGGCACTGGGCACTGCCTGGAGGAGGTGAAGCCTTGAAGGAGGCAGTTCCCAGAAGGGGCACAGCTCTGAGCCATTGGCAGCTGGGAAGAGCATGCTGGCCCCTCCCCTGCAGGACAAGGGGCGTTGCACTGGGTAACCAAGGTCGGGGTGAGGGCCTCTGTGAG